AATATTGTACGGCACACTTGTATGCTGATGACTGCCAACTACACTTGTCATACAAGCCAGACAAGACATCAGAAGCAATCCGGCTCATCAATGCTGATTTGCACAGCATTTTTCAATGGTCTGTCATGAATGGCCTTGGATTGAATGTTGACAAGTGTGTAGTCATGCATACTGGACCAAACATTATGATGCAGGAATTGAGTAAATCTGCTATAGAAGTCACCCTTGATGGCATGAGATTGTCTGTTTGCGACACTGTCAACACACTTGGTGTTGTACTTGACAAAGACCTCTCTTTTTCTGACCATGTCACATCTGCAGTTCAACGTGCAGTGGGTAGACTGAGAGGTCTTAGCAGATTTAAAACTCTACTGCCAGAATATGCCAAAATGCAACTCATGCGGTCCTTGGTCCTCCCAGCCTTTACATATTGCTTTCCTGCATATGGAAACAGCATCTCTAAGGAGGATATGGCACGAGTTCAAAGAATTCAAAATTCTGCGGTAAGGTTCATTTTTGGCCTTAACCGCTTTGACCACGTGTCCTCCTTCCGAGATGCTGCAAACCTCATCCCAATGGATGAAATATGCAGGAGGCTGACCTGCTGCCTGGTCCACAAAGTGCTCACGCTGGGAGAGCCTCAGTACCTCAGCGAGAGGCTTAAGTACAGGGGGGAGATCTGCCTGCGTGGTACTCGTTCCGACCGCAGGCTTCACTTTCCTAAAGTGAGGCTTGAAGTTGGAAGAAAGTCATTTTCTTATTTTGGCCCGCAGTTGTATAATGGCCTCCCTCAGGACATAAAGAGCTCCAAATCGTATGGCTCATTCAGGGCCGCAATGCAGAAAAACAAATGTAAATTGTAAATGTGTTTTTCTTTGTAGTTTTTCTGTATATTAAATTTCTGTATATATTAGGTTAGTTTAGTTTTAGTTTGACTTGAGTAAGTTTGAAAATCATGTATATGAAACTCGCTTGTAAATAAAGGCCTTTTTATTTATTTATTTATTTATTATAATTATCAGGATAGAACTGCCTCTCTACAAAGCTACAAAGATAAATTTTAAAGTAGGCTAAGTATTGTGTTAGTTAATCTCGCCTACTAGGGCTTACAGCTTCTTCCCTATCTGTAGGTAGCACGGTGAGACCTAAACCCAGACCGATTTAATAACGCAAGTAATTTTGGTGCAATTTTGATCAAATTTGGCAAGAACATGTAAACAATAAATTTATAATCTTCATGGTGTTTGGAAAATGTCTTTAACTACAGGTACTGTGTTCATTGTTTGTAGGTATTTTTTTTTTTATTAATAACCAAAACAATGTTGTCTGAGCTTCTAACAGATCTCTTGAAGCCTAATTTATTTGTATACTCGTGTTTTTTTTTTATTTTTATTTATTCTTCCAACGGTAACACCATTTAAACATTCAAAATTATATTAAATAGGTTAAATCACTGCATAATTTCATATTAATTTCACCAAGAATATTTTTGAATAAAACCTTTCACTATTGTAGTCAATGATAAAACACTTGTTGGTATTTACCCAGTAGTAATGGAAATATTACCATGGATAAAACGTGTTGGTTAGTCTATGATATTACGTAGGCCCTACACATGTTTAACTTAATGAACTATAACCTAATTTCAGATTTTAGCAGGTCCTGTAAGAAGAACGGAGGCGTTGCGTTGTATGCCTCTAAAGATTATGCACCAAAATGTAAGGCTATAGACGTTAGTGGTTTCTGTTTGGAACAACATCATGAATTTGCTTGTCTCAGTGTGCCTGATTCCAATCTCATAGTTATAGGTGTGTATCGCTCACCCGATGGAAATCTGGAGTGGTTCCTTGACAGCCTTGAAAAACTAGTCCTATCCCTTGAAAATAGAAGAACGAAAAATAATCTGGTCCTGGGTGGTGATGTTAATATAGACATTTTAAAAGGTGAGAAACACTCAGAAGACTTTTTAAATCTTTTGAAATCCCTAAATCCTCATTGCTTGGTGTGGGAACCTACAAGAGGCAATTCGTGTCTGGACAACGTTGCGACGGATTTACCCAAAAGACTCCTGAAAACGGAAGTGAAGAGACTTGCTGTAAGTGATCACGACGCAGTCAGCCTCCATGTACAAACTGCATCAAGTGCAGTACCTGATGGTTCTGGTCGAAGAGTATGTAGGCCTATTTCAACAGACAAGATAAATAATTTTATATATCGCCTAGATAACACAAACTGGGACTTCCTTTATAATACTGGTGCGGCTGAAGATACCTTCAATTGTTTTTTTCAAAATTTCCTTCTTATGTTTAATGAATGCTTTCCCACAAGGTTACTGCCTACAAAACGCTCCAAGAAAAATCAAAATCTTCCGGACTGGAAGGACCAATCCCTAGTAACGTGGAAGAAGTGGGTGCTCCTAGCCTATGATCTCTACAGGGACAATAAAACACCCGATTCAGAGCTACGCTACAAAACTATTAAGAAGCAGTACAAACAAAAACTTCTATCAGCTAGACTGGAAAGAAATGCTCGCTTCATAGAATCTGCCAGTAATCGCTGTGCAGCAGCCTGGAAAGTTATCCATGAAGAAGGTGCTCCGTCCAAATCCCAGTTGATATCTTCAGTGACTGCGGAAGCTTTCAACGCCCATTTTATTGACTCCGTCCAGCAGACCAGAGATGCTATCAACGGTTCAGCCACTTCTGCCCTAGATATGCTGGAGAAACGTGACCCTGCAGCCTCACGGTTCAACATTACCCTTTTATCCTGTGAAAGTGTGATACGGGTGGTCCAGAAGCTCAACAACTCTCCAAGCAAAGATATATTTGAGGTATCTGTCAATCTTATTAAGAGTGTGTTTCCTAGCATTGTTAAGCCTTTTACCTATTGCCTGAACCTATGTCTCTCTGAAGGAGTCTTTCCCCAAAGACTAAAGATAGCCAAAGTTATACCTATCCATAAGAAAGGTGATCCAAACAGTCCTGAGAATTTCCGCCCTATTTCCCTACTCCCAGTATTTTCAAAAATATTTGAATCTGTAATTAAGGATCAGTTGTACAAATATTTCGAAGAGCACAATCTGCTCATGACCGGCCAGTGTGGCTTCAGGGCGGGTCTCTCGACCATAGATGCTCTAGATAAGCTTGAAGCAGTAGTACTGCATGGATTTGAGGCTGGAGGCTTTACTGGGGCCACCCTGTGTGATCTCAGTAAGGCCTTCGACACGGTCGACCATCGGATACTGCTGGATAAATTGAATTTTTATGGAGTAAAGGGCTCTGAACTCAGGCTCATGGAGTCATACCTGGCTGGGCGTGAGCAGAGGGTGCTCATAAATGGACATATCTCTAGCCCTTGTCAGATCACTCATGGTGTCCCACAGGGGTCTGTACTTGGCCCCCTTTTGTTCATTATCATGACCAATGACCTCATTCCAAATTTTGGAGGAAATGTCGTCTGCTATGCTGATGACACTACCCTTTTCAGTTTCTCTAAAGACCTGATAACTCTAAATGGTCAAATGTCTGAGTCCATGGGGATAGCATCAGCATGGTTCCGAGCTAACTTTTTTAAGTTAAATGAAAGTAAATCCCAAACCATTGTTTTCACTTTAAATCAGATGGATCATGAAGTTTCAAATGTTAAATTACTAGGCCTATATTTGGATCCAAAGTTAGACTGGCACTGTCATATTTCTCATGTCTGTAGTCGTTTGTCTAGGGTAATTTTTCTCCTGAGAAGACTTAGAGACTCTGTACCCAAGGAATGGTTAAAAACAGCCTATGTAGCATTTTTTCAGAGTGTACTTCTGTATGGTTTGCGTCTGTGGGGCTCCGCATCTGGGGTCGAGAGGGTCTTGCTTCTGCAAAAGAAAGCAATAAGGATTGTGAATGGTGCAGATTATCTGGACCATTGTAAACCAATCTTTGTTGCCGAGTCCTTGATGACAGTTTACAATCTCTTCATTTTGCAGTGTCTCATGTCATGTAAGAGGAAGCTTGGCACTCTCGAGCTCAGAGGAGGGGTCCACCACTACAACACTAGGAATAAGCAGGATCTAAACATACCTTATGTTAGACTAAAGAAAACCCAGGCTAGTAAGGAAATCTTAAGCTTGAAATTAATGAACAAATTGCCTTGTACAGTTCGGAACCTGCCAATCACTAAATTCCAAAAGAGGGTGAGGGAGTTCCTATTGACTAACCCACTTTACTCAATCCATGAGTTTTTGAACTTCCTGACAACTTGTAAGTATGTTTTTTTATGAGTTTTTGCAAGTGTGGTTTTATTTTATTTTCTATGCATGAAGTGTTGCAGGAACAAACAAATCATGTAATTTTTGCAATTTTTTAGTACTCTAACCTAGTATTAGTTTATTTGACTTTTTCCATACATGTATCATGTTCACGGAAAATAAAGCATTTCATTTCATTTCATTTCACACGACCGCCTTTAACTGCATGCCGCGGCCTTCAAACTGGCAACGTCGCAAGTGGTGTTGTAACAGCTGTTTTTGTTTGGAAGCAGCTAAAGGTATTTGTGTATTTACGAAAGATTGGGTACTGGACTATGACAATATTGACTCCGCTTAAAAATGTACAGATATAGATTTTAATTCATATTGTTTCGGTTTTCAATTCTGTGGGTTTTATTTTCAATATTTTAATAAATTTATGTTCATAAATTTAAATTTATATCAATAAAGTGCGAATTAATGAGCTGATGTCACCTGTCTGCCATGTTATCTTATGGGACGTCTGTCGCTGAACAACACCACTTGCGACGTTGCCAATTCTACCAGGCCGCGGCCTGTAGTTAAAGGCGGCCGTGCCCTACATCAGTCTTGTGTACAGAAATGTTTTATAACCAATGATAGCAGTAACACCCTTGTTGTTAGTCTACCTAGTTTGCTTTCCTGTTTTTAGCCAATTAGTCATCGGCAAAAGAAGAACGTGAAGCTATTGGAAAAACGCTGGACCAATCAAAACACTCAAGGTGTCAACTGCTGCAACTCGGCAGACGAATTTAATACATAATACAAACATTGTAATATTACAAATAAAGTATGTTAAATTAGTTTTTGTTTGTTTTGAGGTTTGAAAACGTAAGTAGTATATAGTTTTATTTAGCTTGAAAATGTATCTCGCTTACAATTTAGCCAAATTGATTTTTCCTAACCTTAGTACAAATGAAAGGACACTTGTAGGTTATGTTTTCCTTGTTCCCGGCACCTAAAACGAAAGTGCAAGTGTTTAGATTTATTTAATTTACTTGGCCCCCATATTCTGGTAAACAATTAAAATTTCGAAGAAAATTTTAATCTAATCTATCAATGTTTTATCTCTTTTTATAATGAAACACATCTAACCAAAGATTGGATCTCTCTGGCAAACCTTAAGTTAGGCCTACTGATTTTAAAATGGTAGCCTAATTCTTCAATCATTGTTCAATGTAATTTTTTGTCTCTAACTTATTTCACATGAGTAATCAGAGGTGACAGTCCCAAACTCATTTTAGAGTTCCTAATTTTTTTCCAATAAATTAAATCCTTTTTCAAAAATTGAAAAAGGAAATAAAAAAAAATCAAAAACTTTCCTAGGGTAACTCTCTTTTCAAGGCTTTTAATGATTTAAAATGCCAGTGTTTCTGACTTGTGTTTTTGCAGCATTTAATCCACTTTTTGACGTGTCCATATGCATGTATCTACTGGAATAAAATTTTGATTTGATTTGTCAGGAATCAATCAATCAATTATTGAGATGGGGACACCACCTAGGTGCGTATTTTAACCCAAATATGAGTGAAGGAGAATGCTTTTAGGAAACCCTAAAGAATTGCAATTTTTACATTTTACATGTGGGAAACTAATACAGCCTACAATTATTTTCCCAGTTATGCTCTTCTAGAAAGATTTTTTCTGTCACAGTAATTTAGCCTTTGCCTAGCCTTTGGGGTTTCAACATTTATAAGTTAAGTAACTACAACTGTTTGTACAGGATGATGTGGAAAAACATACTTCACTCTGTATGCTTACTCTTCGTCTTCACTGAGTTGTCGGAATGCAAGAAGAAGTCAAAGTCTGTGACAACTGTTCTTGATGCAAAATGGGAACAGACACCTTTGGTCCTTGAGATAGCGGAGTATTTAGCTGAGGAAAGCTCTGAGGTGTTTTGGCAGTTTGTCGATGGGGTAGCAGCTTTAGATATCCCCTTGATTGATCTAGGTAAGCATTAATACAACAATTAAGTACCGTACCTAGGCCTACCTATGTTTTGAAAGTGACAGATGTATGCCATTATGAAGCGTAATAATTACTCAAACCCAATTTAGAGGAAGTTGTAACCTTGGCAAAATCTTTTGTAGCTGCCACCACAAAATATGACTAAAATATTTATGATTACTTTATACGGTAGTATTGTTGGTTTACCCCAATAATGGTGGGCTAAACTCAATACCATACAAGAACCGATGCCGTAAACAGAACGTAGGCCTATTAAGTTGAAATGTTGTCACATATTCTTGATAAAAATTGCTTCCTAAATAATGTAGGCCTACCGTATGCTTCTATTTTTCTTTTCAAATAGCATAGCCTACAATTAATTGTAGCCTATGTATAGGCTCAATTAACTAAGCCTAAGTGCAAACTGCAAATTACCTATTACCGTATCTTCATCTTTTACCCAAAAGGGATTGATGGCGTCAATACTTTCAAAAATCAAAAATATACATTTAGACAAACTGACATAAATGCAAAACATATATTTACAATATTGGCAATGTGGATAGGCGGATCAGTCAGAAAATTCTGGGAAAATGTCTTCAGAAAATTCTTTTAGGGAATAGTAGGCTCTTGACTTGAGTAGAGGGACCAGCTTCTTTAAGAAAAGCTTACGCTCAAGCTGTTTGATAGAGTTGGGCAGCTTGTTATAGATTTGTATTGCTCCCGTGTTGTAACTCTTCTGGGATCTCGTCAGCCTAACCCTGGGCACATCAAGCAACCCGCGCTGCCTAGTTTGGTGGTCTGGTCATGAACCGCTGAAAGAAGTTGAAAGTTGGCGCAGTTGTCATGGATCGTCAGTGAGCATACAAGGATGTAATGGCTATAAACCGTGAATATCCCCAGCCTTGCAAAGATGGGTTTGCAATGGGCAAGGCGGTCACTAAATGTAATATGTCGTACAGCACGTTTCTGAATCACTAATATATCCTCAACATCAACCGCTTGACCCCAAAGTAGTAGGCCATAGCTCACATGACAGTGGAACTTGGCATGATAGATGTTAAGCAGGTACTGTTCAGTAATAAAATTTCGCAGCTTGAGCAGAAGACAGCACACCCTAGAAAGTTTGCTGCTAACGTTGCCTATGTGATTGTTCCACGCCAATTTCCTGTCCAGATGGAATCCAAGGAGCTTAACTGGTTCACTAGGTGGGGCATTTCTTGCCAGACTGCAGACCAGTGTCTGGGTTTTTTCCTGGTTGAGCTGAAACCCATTTTCTTCGATCCAGCGGGATGCTACGGAGAGATGTTGGTTGGCATCTGCAGTGGACAGCTCAACTTGGGGACCCCGTGACACCAGGGTTGTGTCGTCGGCAAAAAGCACCACCCCTCCATCTCTATCAAGGTTATTAATCATTACTAGGAACAATAACGGACCTACAATCGATCCCTGAGGGACACCTTACAAATATAGTATATACAAATATACATGAGCATAACTTTAAAGGTAACAGTTTGCACATTTATAACTTCTTAAGTGATTAAGTAATACCAATTTGTTAGTAATTGATACAAAACATGCCAGTGTTGTACCGAGTGGGGGCGGGAGGGGTCCCAGGCCCCACACCAACCTCGGCCCCCAAATTAGCGCCTATTCCCCTAACGACGGGCACAGAGTTTGCCGAGGGTCTCGGCATGGAAAGGGGCCTCACTTGGGGCCTCAAAAGAATGTTTTCTTTCTCTTAGAAAATAAATCTCGCCAATAATCTGTTACAATTAGGGGGTAGTACAACTTTCCGAGTCAAACTTATATCCTCACAATCGCCGAAAGTGTCTGGAAAGATTGCGATAGAAAATCATGACTCCCAGCGATCGCGGGTGACGATAATCAGGTCTCGCAACCGCAAAAGACGTTCACAATTGCTCCGAGACAGACACGATCATGATTTCACCGCGATATTGGTGAAAGAAGATTATGTCCTCACTAACATGGACAAGTTGTTCAGGATTTCCCCTCGATCATAATGAATAGTAGTCTAATGTCCTCGCGATGGCGCAAGATTTTAATTATTTCACCAAGGGACGTACAATACGATTCCTTAACGATCGCGGAATATGCCCACGATTCTACCTTCACCAAGACCGTGCTGGACTCAGCTACAAATTTGTTGTGACCTAAGGACGATTTCGTTAATTTTCTATCCAGTTTCATGTTCACGATTTCGCCGCGATGGCGGCGGGCGATAATGTTGTCCCTGCGTTAGCGGGAGATGTTAACGATCTCATCTTAAAGGCAAGGAGAATATATTCCCCCCCCCCCTTGTGACCGCGAAAGATGTTTACTATTTCACCGTCGATCCCAGAAGATAGCCACTATTACTTCGCAACCGAGGGAGATGGAGATAAAGACCCCGCAAATACGGAAGATGCTCACGATTTCGTAGTTGCCAAGGATAATATTGGTAATTTTCGCCGCGATTTGCAGAAGTCATTTGGACCATTTAAAGTAGCCTAAAACATAATGTATAATATAAAGATAATATAATAATACTGTATTTTATACAAAGATATTATCTTCTAAATAAAAAAATGGTTAAAAGGAGTCACAGTAAAAAAAACCTCATTTGTGTTACTTCTTGGAGTGCTTAAGTGCTCGTGCTTATTATGAATCTCCAACTCATAAAAACATAAAATGTTAAAAGCTTAAAGAAAAATTTAATTTAGCATCATTACATTTGACTTAAAACAATAAATTACACTCAAAACAGTCGACATAGCCATGACCCTATTTAACTTGAGCTCATTTCATCAGTGATGCAAAATATATTTTTTAATAAATTAATAAATACGTGAAATAATAAGAACCATAGTACTGTACCCTGTTTAAATAATTTTGAACATAAAATGATTTTAAACAAGGTACTATGATATTTATTATTTCATGTATATACATACATTTTTTATATATATATATATGTATATGTATAAATATATATATACGGAAAGTAAATAAAAGAAACGTCTTATAACACTTAAAACATATATTTACGCTTATAGGCTACTGTTACTCACAAGACGGTAAATATACAAAAAAGATGGTAAGTGGTGATCGATTTCGATTGGACACTCCAATCATCATCAGACCCAATAGGCGAATGACAAGAATCTTGAATGGCGCCCCTACTTATACCCTATTGGCTACCGGAAGCACCCGCCAATACATTTTTATAAGTACAACTGGAATCAAAATGTATTTGTTTATTAATCAACTTATTTCTATTTTTACATTTTTCCTTATAAATATACAATTCTTCCCTAGCATTCATTACATATCCTTTCTTACAATTCTTTAAAATATCTATACTATCCTCCATTTTTCCTAGTGAGTGGCCATTTTGTAACAGGTGTTGTGCGACATTTGATCTTTCCGGTTTGTTGTTCCTCCACGCAGATATGTGGTTTTTGAAGGGGTTAACGAAGTTCACAGTCTGTCCAATGTAGAAGCTATCACAATCGTTACAATTGATTTTATAGATGCCCGAAGCGTCGAATTTGTTACAATCTTCTATTTTTGGATGCAGTATTTTACTCATGGTGTTCTGAGTCCTGTAGGCTATTGAAACTCCGTATTTCTTGAATCTGTTAGCAGTCCTTTGTGTTGTAGTCCCTGTGTAGCTAAATGTGATATATCTGGTGTTTTCCTCTTATATCTCTTCTAATGTTGTTCTGCTGTGTAGTGTATTCTGCCTATCGATTTTCCTCCTCGTCTTCCTTGCGATGTCCTCTATCGTCTTGGTTCGAAATCCATTAACTTGAGCGATCTTCTTAATGGTGTCCAGTTCTTTCTTCCTATTGGTTTGGCTAAGTGGGATCTTATAGGCTCGGTACAGTATGGATCTAAAGGCTGCGGTCTTGTGGATTGTCGGATGGATAGACTTGCTGTTGATTGTAGTGTCCGTTTGCGTAGGTTTCCTGTAGATGTCAAACTCTATCTTGCTGTCTTTTCTCTCTAATGTGAGGTCCAGGAAGTTGATCTTTTTGTTTTCTTCAAACTCGTTGGTAAAGGTGAGGTTCGGGTGGTGGCTGTTTAGTGTCTGCATCATCGTTTCGTGCTCTTGCTCCTGGGCTTGTCTGAAGATAACAAGAATGTCGTCTATCTAACATACAGTTTTACATCATGATTCTTTCTTAAATTCTTTAACATTTCTTTTTCCTGATGCTGTAAAAATATTTCTGACAAAATTGCCGAAAGTGGACTTCCCATAGCTAAACCATCTGTTTGTTCGTAAAATCTATTGTTAAATCTAAAATAATTTTGTTTCAAAACAGTCACAAGCAATTTTATATCTGATTAACATATTCATCGTCTAAACTACCTATTCTGTAAAAGCCTACATTTAACAAGATCTAGGCCTACAGTTTCAGATACAGGTATGTTGGTATACAGATTTGCGATATCAAATGAGACTAGCCTACTATTGGAATCTATATCTATGTTCTTTACACGTTCAACAAATTCATAACTATTCTTTACATTGTATACATATTCTAATTCTAAATCATTGCTGAGCTTACTTGCTAATAATTTTGAAACATTGTAGGTAGGAGCACATTTAAAGTTAACTAAGGGTCTGATGGGTACATTCTTCTTGTGTATTTTTGGGATCCCTTTCATCACGGGCGCTTTAGAATTTAGGAGTGTCCAATCGAAATCGATCACCACTTACCATCTTTTTTGTATATTTACCGTCTTGTGAGTAACAGTATAAGCGAAAATATATGTTTTAAGTGTTATAAGACGTTTCTTTTATTTACTTTTAATAAATAACACAAATCAACATTAGGAGGTACTCGTAAAATTCATGACTGCCAGCTTATTAGGCTATTAACATTTGAAATCAAGAAGAAAGTCGATTGTGCAACACCAGTAGACCGTTGCTTGTATCCAGATCTACTGCAAGGCCTACGCAAATCAACAAGTTTGTTGGCTCGTAATTGTTATATTATGTAATCTATCTCAGTCGTAGTTCCTACGTAATTGTTTTAATCTTAATCTTAAACATTGTAGGCACGGAAAAGGCAGTGTACGAGCGAGCATTGGCAGAAGCGAGTAGGTTGCTCTCACCAGCACAACTATCATTGCTCAAGTTGTCAGTGTCGCTACACGTCTACTCGCCTCGAGTGGAAATGTACCACCAAATGGCACTGGAGCGCGGGGTCAAGTGCCCGGCGGCAGTGGATGTTGCTGGAACTGTTGTCTGCGAACCACACAAGATTGAGGAGGCAGTGAAAGAAGCTCTGGTAAGCTGCTTGGATGATGTTATGGTAGGGACAGTATTTTAACATATGTGTATTTATGCTTTAAAATTTGTTTGTAGTGATCCAGATGTTCACAGAAATCTATCAAAATCAGCCAATTTCTTGGGTTAGGCTACTTTTTATGCTCAATAAAAAATAATTGATGAAACAGCTGATAAAACATCTACTTTCATTTAGAAAACTAACTTAATTTACAGCTGATTTACATTTAAATAAACAGAGGCAAATAGAGAATCATCAATAGGCTACTGAATTTAGACTTTGAGAATCAGTCAGTGTCAGATGTAACTGTTCGCTGTTGTATCGTACAGAATTTTTAAACTTAGAATTACACACACAGGTTACGGTGGAATTTTAATTTGAATTAAGATTTTATATCCCTCATTGTTTACAGGCTCGTCCAGACTTATCAAGATTGGAGACGTTTAGGCTTGATCATCACTACCCTGGCTCAGAAAATAAGAGTTTGGTTGCTATATTGTATGGAGAGGTAAGTTGCATTTTAGGCCTTCTATAATGTGGTGTGTATACTGTTTGGTGGCCTAATTATCTGCAATCTTACCATATCAAAGATTTATTGATGTGACAATATGACTAGACTACTCTAAAGTACTGTCTTTGACGATTGAGATGTACATTGTAATTGTATTTATTCATGAATAAAACATGTATAATAATAATAACAGTTTTACTTAACAATTTTGGTGGGCTTTTGGCATTTTTTGTATTTAACAAATGAGTTTAAATTTTTACTTCTTTGTCCACGATTTTGAAAAATTTAACATATTAAATTTTTGACAATCTAAATCAGCTAAGTACCAATGTAATTATTGAGCCAATGTTTTTTAACTATTATTGGCTCTTAATGGTTCATTGCCTGTATTTCATGCTGTTAAGATAAATAAGAAAACTAAAAAATTAACTTAATCTGCAGGGTTGTTGGGACAATAGTATTGTTTATCCTATGTGTGTTTCCAGATTGGTACACCTGAATTTGCCCAGTTCCACAAGCGACTTCGTCAGTTGGCCACATTGCAGCCTGTTGACTATGTGTTAAGGCATTTTGTCAAGGTTTGTAAAATAGTTAATGGAGTTAATTTTCTGTAAAGTAATATGTACATTTTGAGACAAGGAATTATAGCTTTATTTCTAGAACTGTACCGGCTGAACCTGCTAGATGTATGGTTTGACCTCATATCTTTGTAAAGCGATTTGTCGCCGTTTTGATCCTAAAAAAAATCACTCGCTGTTGGAAAGTGCAAAATAGAACTGAGGTTCAATATATTTCGAACATCCAAATAGCTAAACCTAAAAGTAACAAAAATGAAACGAAACTAATCAGAACTCTCATCTACACGATTTTTGGGTAGCCTAGCCTATAATAAAATTGAATCCGTCTTTTCTCTACATACACTTAGTTTTGGGCCCTACTATAATTGGGTTTAGCAAATCCATCTAGTTTTAATTTATTTGTATTGCCTTTGTTTATTAATAAATTCACTTTAATCCTAATTCTATCTAACAGCACTTGAGAATTATGTGACTCTTAGTGCTGTTCACTTATCTATTTTAATGGTGTGACTTCCTCAAGGCATTTCTCAATGGTTTTGTATTGCTTCAGGAGCGACCAAACAAGAAGTTGCGGTTGTCTGGATATGGAGTCGAGCTGCAACTCAAATCCACAGAGTACAAGGCCCAGGATGACACTAAGGTGAAGGGAACAGATGGAGATGACTCTCAGGAAGAGGAAGAAGACGTGGAGATAGAGGGGTTTGTCATCAGCAAACTTAAGTAAGTCCAATAGTACCAACACACTACTCTGGTAAAGTCAAAAGTTCTAAATAAAGTACAATATCCCATAATGGTGCGTTGGTTGCAACATTGAAATATATAAAATTTTAATGAAAAAGTCTTATGTAAAACTATGACATTTAAGTAAAAGTGTTGGTTTGTAATTTAAAAGAAAGAAAAACTCAGTTAACACCTTCGCTACCGCAATAGTAACAAATTTTTCATTCATGGACCAGCGACGCACATATGCGACGGCTGGTTTCTACCCATAGACTGCCATCGCATATATGTGACGGCTAGTCACATTAAAGAGACAGACGACGCATATTTGCGTCGGTGTTCCAATGTTATCAACGCTTATATCTTTGTAACGGTCTATTTGAAGAGACTGAATTCTCTGCAGTGGTCTACAGGGATGTCTGTTGCACAACTGTGTCACTTGGTCTGTGGATATGATGACTGGTGATGTCATATGATTGGAAAAACTGTTCTTTACTTCTTTAGGCCTACTTCTTCTTTACTGCATAACTGTATGTGTGTATGCTGCATTATCCCATGCAGTTTTTATATTTGTTCAATTATAAACTGTTCTTGAAAAATCGTTTTTTTTACTTACTTTCACCTAAAAATATAAAAAAAAATAACTGTCACATATATGCGGTGTTTGGGCTATTTCAAGAAAAATATAATAATTTTCACTATTGTCTCAGCTATAGACCGGGTGTCCCAAATATGCAACATTACAAAAGGTTATCAAAAACATAAAAAAACAACAATATATTATTTACAAACAAGATTGCAAAGTATTACAAAGTAAATGATCACTGTTTAACAGGTTTTTGCCCGTGGTCTGCGTGTACTGTTAACAAAGTGACAGTCAGTCTATGTATATGATTAAATTGTATACGTCGGTCCGTGGCAATGATCGTGGCGTCAGATATATGTGACGCTCTGTAGCGAACGTGTTAACATTTATTTTTGAACTTTTAGCATATTTGCTTTAAATTTCTACAAATAGAACAGAAATTACAACTGAACCATGAATCAAACCACACCAAAATTTATATATCCACTACCTGTGGGAAATCAGAGATTTTCTTTCTTAAAACTAAATTTTAGTTCATTAATACGTTGTTTTCAATCAAGCTCTATTCTGGAAACTAAATGATTCTTGGCAGCTAAACTTGTAACTGAATGTTCCAGGATGATGTACCCTGACAAGAAGGAGCAGTTGGAGAAGCTAGCGCAAGAACTGACAGAGACGAGTGATCAGCTGGCGCCACTCAAGGTGTGGCAGTTCCAGGAGTTGAGTCTACAGGCGGCGCAGAGGATACTGTCAGCTCCTAGAGAGGAGGCACTGCACACGTTCACACACATTGCTCAGAACTTCCCCATGCAGGTGATCACCATTAGGGTGTTTGACTTAAAACTTTATAAGTATTTCAGGCAAAACATAGCGTGTGTTTTTTTACAATGCCTCACAGCACAGAATAAGCACATAACCCAGAAGGCTCACTGAGCCAATAAAAATGTGTTTGAATCTGCTAGTGTCTACCCCAGAATCTAGAACTGCTACTGTAGCTGTTGTATTAAAAAGTATACACTTGTATTATCAGCTGGTAGCATGCTATTAGTATAGGCCTGTCCTATTCAAATTCTTTTTTGTTGAACAGATAGCCTAAAAAGTCACGTTTAATAAACGGAACAGAAAATTATAATATCATCAGCTTAAAATATGTTGGACTCACCTATTTAATCAAGATAATTCTCAAAACATTAACTAATCTTGGTAACTAACTTAGTAAGAAATGTGTGTTAGTACCACAACAATTAGCCGAACAAGAAACAAGATACTATTGAATTAGTAGCTAGGCAGTGATAAAACACCACACCTGAATGATATAATAGATCACTATCATGGAGAAATTTATTTTGGAAGCAAATTCTTTACAATTTTACTTTTTATTTTTCTCCAGGCCAAATCACTGGTTAGAACCACGGTGAATGCAGATTTCAAGGCAGAGATGGTTCGCAACCAGGAGAGGTTCGCAGCAACTCTCAATCTACAACCGTCAGACACTGCGTTGTTCCTCAATGGCATCTTCTTTGACATGGACCTCACTGACACCATGGCCATCCTGGACTCCCTGAGACAGGAGCTGAGGGTACTGGAGGGACTGCATGCCTCTGGTAGGTTGAACATTTTGTCAGTATGGTCATGAAACGGCTGTTGAGAAATAAGGTATAAATTAGTGTTTCTTGCAACGTCAACAATGGATTTATTGCCATGAGAAGAAGGTTGAAAATTCATTAAAGCCTATAAAGTCAATGATAAAAATTTATAAATTCTGTATTTCTGGGTGGAACATCAATTAATAAGACAAGTTTTTACTGCACAAACAAAACTGAGTACCTCCTCTCTGAAGAAGACCTACATCAGGACAAAATATCAGTGTTATGTTTTGTGTTCTTTTAGTGTGTATCTATCAGCCCCTGGACACTAATTTTCTCAGATAAGCTTCAACTCTATTCCTAAAAAAAAATTTCCTTATTAAGTATAAAATAAAATATTTACAAGCTGTTAGCATGAGAATGGTACTTCCAAACGATTAGTATTTCATAAATGATGTATGTGGTACACATTAGGGGAAAACTTGACAAAAACCGCACAAAATTGGGGTTTTGGACGTTTGTAATTTTATTTCCTAAGTAGGTAACTTAGGCCATGTATTTTAGGGAAAAGTACCGGTATCAATAATCGTCCTCAAAATTTCGGTTATGAATAATTGGGTAGGCCTATGTACCCAAGAGATGGGCCAGCGATTGCAGTACATAGCGGTGAGTAGAAACCGAAAGTGACACTTTGGAAAAGCAAGTTTAGGAGCATCCCTAAACCTCTGTCACGATCACAACGTCACAACAAAATCCATCAGATCTTCATCATCACCCACTGCAGTTATGATTATTTACTTAACAATTCACACAACTGTCATTGAAGCGCCGTCAATGAGTGTAAACCTTCTTTGTTAGCTATTGGCGACGATGATTTAAAAAATGAAAGCTTCCCAGCCCTATACAACACTGATTCACGATCTTTTCCCCCGTTAACAAAACTCAAGTACAATTTGAAGTACACAGAGAATCTCCGGCTCCCGACCTGGATGATGCCTAGTTATTTAATTTCATTTACGGTTACGCATTATTGCACTTGCCAGTTATGTAAAGCACAACGTTTTTAATCTCACTTGGTTTGGATTTGCTTACAAAACGTGATCGGAAATGGTTGCAGTATTTGTAAACATATCAGTAACAGCATGACACCATGTAAAGCAGGATAAACTTGAATGAGTTCGCGAACCAGCATGATCGGACCATGGGAACGGGGCTTTACGGGGGGTTTTATGGGGTAAAAATTGGTTTTTCTCACTCTTGACCCTCAAAACACAAAATTTCCCAATTTCTCTTTAGACATTTTTAATGAGCTTAAAAAAAAAATAATTTAGTATATAAAAGTATTTTGGTTCGGTTATTAGTAACGGAGAAAATTTTAAAAAATGTAAATTTAAAATTCCCATGTTATTCTTATGGAGAATATTGTCAAATGTTGTAGTTTGCTTGTTTATGGATATAATTTGATCAAACTTGGCAAATTTATTTATTTTGTACTAAGCTATCAATATTTTACTAAAAAACACACTTTATTAGTTTCCTTGTAGCAGCAAACCTAGGTACTCGTTAAACCTAATGATATTAAAATATATTTAATTGAAAATCAACTCAGACAAATGGAAATTCGCTAAGTCAGCAGGTTTGCTGCGGCGGGGGTATTTAATCCATAACAAAATAAGTAGGCTTGTTTTGGTCTATTTTAAAATCCAAATTAGTTACCAACTAATAATAAAATCCTAAAATCCTCTTCTTTCAGGAATAACGGATAAGTCAACGTTGAGCTCCCTGTTGGGCCTGGACCTGAGTAGCAATGGAGGTCAGGACTTTGCCATAGACATCAGAGACTCGGCCATACAATGGGTCAATGACCTGGAAGTGGACAAGCAGTACAGGAGGTGGTCGTCTTCTCTCATGGACCTGCTGAGGCCCACGTTCCCAGGGATGGTGAGGCATCTGCGGCGAAACCTGTATAACCTGGTAAGTGACATGTAGACCAGATTACTCAAGAACATAGTCAGTGTGTCCAATTGACCGGGAAACTATAAAACCGGGAGTTGTATATGAATTTTTATGACTGACAAATGTAGGCCCTATGTGAGCTGTACATAAATTATTGATAGAACTGGGAATTTTTCAATAATTGCTAATAGCCTATGGTTGATTGTTGTGGTTGATTGGTTGATTAAAGTCGTTGGTTTTAATGGCTCTCTTCAAATCTCATCACTTTTATTTGTAGTTAAAAATTCCGATCGCAAAAAGAAACATGGCAATACAAGGCGCGATCAAAATGTCACCGCACCTTAAGAAATGCTCACGGGTACTGCTACAATTGTGAGAGATCAGATTGATGATATGATTCTGGTGTAAAGAGTTTTGGAATCAACTCATATTTTTTTTAATTAATAAAGAATAAAGTATATTGCAGTTAAAATTGATTTCAATTCTGTATTGTATTTTATGAACATTTTTCTTGAGCATGAGACACAGGTGTGTGAGCAATAGTTTGCTGCGATTGTCTACACAACTGCTGGAGACGTTCAGAATTTTTTCGCGATCGTAGATGATGATACCCAAGTGAGGGATGATTGTGAAATTATACTAGTTGGAAAAAAATTTTACATTGTTAACATGCTCAATACAACATATTTACCTGAAGTAATTACATACAAATATAATACAGAATTTTCAAAATTTATCATAACTTTAAATTGCATCCATACGGTAGCCTAAAAGAAGAGTTTTGACAAAACGAATCATTATATAGCACAGCTGTGTTGCCTACTCTTCGCATAGTAAAATTAATTCATCACCTGTGAAATATAGCTGTAAAAATTAGTATATTAATCATTGCATAGTGATAATAAACTACCGATTAAATGGCACAGTTTAACCTAGCACTTTGACAGTAGGCTTGAAGCTGCATTAAACAATTTGCTTTCTCGTAAACCATCCTGAAAGCACTGTTGTTTTTCTTGATTTGTTAAACAAAATTGCATTCTCAGGGTAATCACTGTGGTGATGCTATGCAGGGATTTGGGCCACTTAAGTAGTTGTTTTCATCCCACAGGTGATCATAGGGGACCCGTCCAAACGACCTGTCTGGCCACTGGTTAAGCTGGTAGAGTCGTTCTACGTACACACGGCTCCACTGAGGCTGGGGCTGGTGTTTGCCGTCAACAACACTGCGACAGGTAGAGAGGACGCTGGGGTCGCGCTGCTCAACGCTTACAACTACGTGGCGGAAGTCAAGAACGCTTACGAGGGTCTCAGCTTCATTACTGATGTAAGCTTTCACTGAAGTGACTTCCTAGAAGTAATGTATTAGATTGTTGTTTATTATTGTCTACGACAGTAAAAGGAGAGGTAAGGAAAATCATGAAAGTTTTTAAGGGAAAGTCTAACTTATCAAATTTTTTAGGACGTGGCAAAGAACCTGTCACTCTCTCACTAATGTCCGAGACGCTAACCTCTAGGCTAGCAAAACTCCTCTCTGTTTTTGTTAGGATGTGATTTATACTTCAACAGAATGTAGGCATTGAACACTTAGGGTAGTTTGTGTGAATTTGTTAAAGTTAAGTACCTATTTAAATTTTTCAATGTTCTTCAATGTGTTTTAAGGTTCTTTAAATATTACAAATTTCATGATAAAAGAGTCGTCTGAACTAAAAGGCATTGGTATGATGAAATCTTACATTTTGAACTTACTCACTCAACAAATTTAAACAACAGAGAATTTTAATTGCAGGTGTATGCATCGGTCAAAACTGAGGGAGAGCGTGATGTACAAGTGTCGGATGTGATCAAGCTGTTGAAGGCTCGTTATCACTCTGCGGACATCGAGGAGATCCTTGGAGAGGACACAGACTACGACACAGGCCGTAAACTGGCTCAGGACTTTGTACAAAGATCAGGCCTCAGGTCCCTACCTCAGGTGAGATCTATCATTGGTATTGTAAACGCTATTGGAAAGTATTTATTTAGTGCACATGGTTGTAAGTAACTAGGCGGAGTGGCAACACTTCATTGGTGGCAACAGCCATAACAACAACTATTTTGTGAACTCTCTTTCTCTACACTTGACAAAGTCAACCCAGGGAACAAAATATTGTGTGATTTACGCGTCTTCTGTGTGTTTTACCTTTACTTCTTCTTAGATAAGCTAGCTGCTATTCTTATTCTACTATTCAAAATGCTGCCCTAGAACCTTTCCTTGATAAAAAACTTACTTCTTTTATTATTATTGATTAATGAGGATAAACCACAATCACTGAGCTAAGTATGTTTCATATTTGTCAAGGCCCTGATAAATGGAATCCCATTACCAGAGAAGACCCTCAACTCTGATGAGTTTGAAGGAGCTGTGTTGACGGAGATCATGACCCAGACTCCGGCTGTACAGAAGGCAGTGTATCGTGGAGATCTCACTGACGGCATGAATGTACTGGACTACTTGATGGATCAACCCAATGTGATGCCCAGGTAGGTGTACAACACAGCCAGTGCCTAGTAGTAAATCATGGAGTTAGCTGTAGGCTGTACGCTTTTGAAAACCACTCAGGCAGTATGTATGTGTACATCAGTTTCCACCGAAAAAGTGATACATTTTTCCAATATATTTTTATATTTAAAATAAACTTATTTAAGACCTTACTTTGGCTGGGCCATCTAGCGATAGTTGGTGATATTTTGAACCTAATTGTACCTTTAAGCTTAGGGAAGTCATGACCTCTCTAATGGCAGTTTTTTTTGGAGGATAATATTGTTACCATCCTAAACATTTTACTTGACAAATTAAAATGATGTATTCCTAAATTTGAAGTAGGCTAGTTTATTGCATAGTTTAAACCTTAGCATTGTTAAACTATTTGGGTAAACAAACTGACTTCATCATGCACATAAGATATCCTAACTAACCTATATCATTAATATCTGTGATGTGGACTGGAAAGTGTGTGTGTCTCTTGTCGGCAATGCAAAATTTTCAATACGGCCGTTTTTTTTATAAGTAATTTAAGGTCAAAATATTGATATTCAGTTTATTTATCTATTGTTAAATACCTCATTTAAGATAGAACAGGACAGTATCGGTTAAAATATGGAATCTAAGATGTAAAAGGTTGAAATAAATCATTCTTTTAGCCTCTGCACGGTCTGAGAAAAGGTACCTCTTGTTGCTCAATGTTATTTCGCCATAACTACAAGAGGTACCATTTCTAATATTAACTTTATAAACAGATTTTACTATAGTCCAAAAAATGAATTGTCCTGCACTCTAGTGTAAATTTAGAGAACTACAACAAAGTTCAGTTTACAAAGAACAAAATATATATCATAAATTTTGCAGTCCCGACAAGAGTTACCTTTTCGTATGTTATGGAGAAATAACATAGGATAGACAAGAGATCCCTTTTTTGAAATGTGATTTTTATGACATGCTTTGATAAAACAATTATTTAAATGAAAACCACTGTGACTAAGACCAAAATTGTTATTGCCTCCAAAGAAGACATTATACGATTTCTTTTGATACCAAAATCGTTTCTTAAATAAAAAAAAAAAAATTAAAAAAAAAACTGTCAAAACGACCCTTTTCCATAACAAAGTTTCAAAGTCCTATAACTTTAACATAAACAAAAATTGTAGATGCATGGGACTTGCACCAAGTGATTCGGAATTTAATAAGAAATTCACTGACTATATTTCTATATTCTATATATTCACTGTAGAATATATAGAATATTCTATATATTCTATATTCTGACTATATTCACTGAAATATATTTCTCAAAATTAAAAACTCCCGACAAGAGGTCCCTTTTCGCTTTCCACATCACATATATACTATTTACCGAGTTTTGGCTGTAGATTGAACGAGAGGATTCTGCAAACGGAGGACAGCAAGTACTTGGATCTGGTGAAGAGTGCTGCCAAGCTGAGCGAGTCCATGGTGTACATCAACAGTAAACAAGCCAAAGACAAGGTGCAGCCACTGACGTACTGGGTGGTGGCAGACCTCAGTAGAGATGCGGACAGGGAACTGCTCCTCACTGCTCTGGAACAGATGGTGAGGGAAAATAATCTCAAGTGCTGTCAGTTCCTCAAGCATAAACAATTTAATAGTTGTTTTATATGTATGAAAATATTAAATCGAGTGATTTTAGTTGCCCCTAGACAATCCAACAACTCTTTTCCAACACATTTAGTAGTCCAAGGCACCTCCAGAAATTATCAGCAGAAACTGTGTAACTTACTTTAAATCTATACTTATTTAATACGCAAGCAGGATTTTTGTGACAATTACTCCTCTGAAACTACTGAACCGATTGACACGTTTTTGGTGTCATTGAAAAGAGCGTAACGTGAAGTTGTGCAGGAAACTTTCTTTTTAGATAAATAATTAGAGAGTGAGGCCCTGGGGCCCTTTAAAGTTTCGTATTTCTCCATAAGATTAACATGGGAAACAAACATTGTTTTGAAACTCCAGCTGTTGTCAGAAATTAAATATTAATTGGTCTCCATGGAAGCATGAGAAAATTCACAATATTTACATTTGCTTTGAATTTTGAATTTAAAAGTAAACAACCAGAACTGTCAAATGCCTATTTCGCAATTTCAGACAGCTGATCCAAAAAATAAAACAACTATGTGGTAGGTTTATTTAATCTTAAACTTGAGGATAGATTATTTATTATGAATCTATTTCGATTATTATGAAACCGATTTTTCCCGTTGCGAAGCAAAAATTAAAAAGAGAAGAAGAACATGTTAATTGTAAACAGTAATGTGTAAATAATTACCTATGTTGTATTAAAAATGTGTATAGTTTTGGATTATGGTTTGTGTTTAATGATATAAGTTATTAATTATTGAATTTTTATTTTAAGAATTTGGCATATGAGTATGCCTATGATAAATAACACAATTTTAGAGCTCTGCCAGGTTTTGCCTAACTCTGTTCTGTAGAGTTTAAAGTAGCCTACACCTTATTGTCTACAAATTGGCTAAATAACTTAGGTACGGTACATTATAAAAGCTGACAGCTTTTTTATGTTGACTTAAATTGTAAGCTTACCTTTTCCCGTCCATGAGCAGTTTGATAGTTAAAAAATAACCCTTTAAACTGGAATAGGACTGGTATGTAAATTGTGAGTATTTCCATCAGTTAATAATCTTTTAGTCGACTCTTTTAAAATCATCGGAAATTATGGCTGTTATTATTAGTTTTTAAACAAGTAATTTGTTTATAAATAACTCCTGTACTTCTTTGCAATTGCTCGATTTCGAGCAACATGTACACTAGTTTTTAATAAATGACATATACTTTTTTGTCCTTTCATACTGTCCCAAATGTGTAAAAGCTGTTGGCCATTTTTTGACTGATCAAATGCATTATAAATCATGATAGTTGGAAATTTGTTTGTGATCAGACACCTTTCTGACCCCTTATTGTCGGATTATGGAGGGATAACTATACTATTACTTTTGTGTGTGTGTATTATCTCTAGTGGCTATAATTTTCTTGAACAGATCAGATACTAGTCTTGATACAATCTAGTGGTGTGGCTGTGATTCAGACGTAAATGTTTCAAAAAATGAAATCAATTATAGTTTTAGAATTTTTTTTAAATAAAGTAAATGGCAGCGAGGTGTTGATTTTCACAGTAGGTTTTGAATTGTATTTTAAATAAATTAAATTTTAATTAAAGATTTGAGACTTGATTCTTAGGATTTAGATTCAAGACTCAAAAAGTCTGACTATTGCTACATTAGTATACTTATATCTATACCTATATATACAATATATCTGGAAACATAGTCCTGGTTGGTAGCTGAATAATGTGCTTGCCTTCTATCAAAAGGTTGCTGGTTTGATCCTGAGAAGAGTCTGAACTGAAGCGTTTTGATAGTTTGAAACTGGACACCTCAGTCCTTGATCTTATGAATTAATTCTGGCTAAAGAAGCAAAAAAAATTGGTTTCACGCTACATTAATCATCTCACTCCATTCTATACACACACATTATTAATATGCAGCTTGAAATATGCACTCAACTGTAGGTTCCGGGATTAAAAAATTGATTGATGTGGTTAACATAATACTAATTCTGGTACACATTGCAGAAGTCGAGTGGTCGTATCAGAGTGGGGGTGGTCATCAACGCAGCTGCAGACGCAGACCAAGCTGTCAACAAGCTGGTAGTAGCAGCATTGATGCAGGACCCTACCACAGCTACTGTCTCCAAGATACTGAAGGATGCTGACGCCATTGCTCTAGGCGACAGACACCCTTCTGCTTACGGGCTTAAGGTAAAAATACGTGCTAAAGCGATAAAAAATAGGTCAAATTGGGCTTGATTTGGGGGAAGTAAACTATATGTTGAGCTTTGTACGCCTACTCTATTTTTTGAATAAACGACCTTTTAGCATAAAATTCTGATGTTAAATTGTTTTACTACTTTTGTTGTGGTGATTAGTAAGTTAAAGTTTTGAAAAAATTTGTCTAGTTTGATCAATCCAACTCTTATCTATCCATTTGCATTGATAGGAATTTTGGTACTTAAGTATTATACGGAGGCCACCCTTATACAACGCGCTGCGGCGGTTAGGTTTGGTCATCATGAAGCTTTTATGACTTGTCTGGTTCGATTCATAATGAAAGTAGGAAAGTCCTACAAACATATTTATAATAGACCAACCTAACCTAACCACCGCAGCGCGCTGTAAAATAAGTGGCCTCCGTATAATACGTAAGTACCGGAATTTTTAGCAACTTTTAAAAACATTTAAGCCAAGCATTTTCTTTTATGCTTATTTTTATGTCGGTGGCATTTCGTTATTGTGAAATACACAAATGCCTTTATGGAAATCACTAAAACATCCAACCATCTAAAGTTTGTGGGCATCCTGGGAATAGAACCCATCCCTCCTGAAATGAATTTTATAACTCTGTATAAAAAGTAATTGTATTTGAGAAGAAATATGACAGGGAAGGGATGTCAAATTTCTTATAATTCCGAAAACTTAGTTTGTATACACTAGACACTAAATTAGTTTTATAATTTTTTTTATTTAATTTTTACTATAGTATAGTGAAAAACATTTAGGAGTCATTAGCCTCACAGACTGAATCGTGCAATTCGAAGTAAAAACTTTATCAATTACTAAAGAGTTTTAGTGTTTCTGTACAATAACACTGTGACTTGTTAGTTTGTATCCACTTTTGTATTGTTCCATCAATCTAAAGTTGTTTACAAAGAGGGAGACTGAAAGCTTTAAATTTTCTATCTACTGAACACCACTTTCAAATTAAACACATTCTTAAATCATCCCCCTATGCCCTTAGGATGTGGACTGGGATACAGTCGGTGCAGTCCTGGAGCAGCACAGAGAGCAGGCAGCATGGGTGCTAGGGTTCCCAGTAGGGGCCCGGGGCCTGGTGTGTAATGGACGAGTGTTGGGGCCCCTCGACCTCTCAGAGCAGTTCACTTCTGATGACTACAGTCTGCTGGAGCGCTTCACCATGTCTACTCATGTGGACAAAGTGTACAACATGCTGACCAAGAAAAGCGATGGTAACTACTTTAACTTTTCTTATTTCATTACTTTACTTTTTAATTTCATCAGTCTGTAACAGAAAGGGGCTTGTAACAGTTTGAACAATTTTAATAGTTGACAATTTTCTTCTTAGTTAATTTCCAATATTGACTTTTACAATGAACTTTGTGCTGATAAGTTTAGTCGTAGAGTGCTGATAGGTTTTAAGTTTTAACCTTTGAGATTTTGGTCAGGTTGCATGGTAGAAAGTTGAAGGGTAGGTGAGGTTTTAAAATCTAGTTGGTATTCGCATAAAAATTTTATAATTACATGTATTTCTTTTTGTGTTGTAGTATGATATCTTAATTCTTAGATGCTACTAAATTAATTATTTGAAGGTAAATTAAAATCAGAGCATTAGAAATCAGTGGAACAGTTAAAATGTCTATATGAAAAGAAATATTGTTTTCACATCTCGAAGAACAATTTAATTACCATGCTGTATTGTTTTACCGATTTTGTTGTGCTTTGAAATATTTGTTTTAGGGATAAGAAAGAGGTGCTTGTCAGTTATGGGTAGAAATCTTAGCTTGAGATACAGATGTTGTAATTCCAGCACCAAAATTATGAGAAATCAAACATTGTATATTTTTTTGAAAAAAAAAACCAAGTTGAAACCAATCTACTAAATTGTGAATAGGGAATCAAACTCCTCAATGATTGTTTTAACTGGCTTTTTTAACCCATAATGAAGTTGTAGCCTATAAAGTTCTCACCTAGTTTGCACATTGTTTTGCAGAGTTGGATGTAACCAGTGACATGGTGATGAGGGCTGTCTCACTGTTGGCAGCCAGACCTCAGACTCGTAGCAGGTTTGAACTACCCGAACTTGGAGAAGAACACAGGTATTTTGAAAATGATTCATAATTTTATTGTATGTTTCTTGTTTGATGTTAATTGTATGTTTTATTGTATTCACAAATTTAAACTCATTTTGTTGTGTTTTGCTGCTACAATCTTTACCTTGTTACCATCAAAATATAAATTAGAGATTCTCCATGTTAGTTTAAGTGGTATAAATATGCAGCAATAGACGATCAAACTAGCTTTTTTACCTCTTAAACCTCATTATATGAGGTACACTTACTAAATTACTCCCAAGGCCAATGAAGTATTTTGCTTATTATCTAACTGTATCTATCTGTATTCTCATTTCCTTGGCTGCTTCATCTTTCTACCTCTGCTCTGAGTGTCTAGGGATTATTAAGACGATAATTTTATTTTCTAATGTGATTTGTAAAAGAAAACATCCAAACCCTTGTACTATTCTTTAACATTGATATATTCTCAATATCATTTAACACCATTTGTCTAGTGACATATGGCATCAGAGGCCAGAATCTGGTGACTTAGGTACTTTAAAGCTTTCTTAAAAGGTCAGCTGATTACTAATCCAAGATTTTTGTGGTGTACACTTAATATACATTTCATAAACTAACATTTACAGCAAGTAATTTTTGGCATGTAATAATGTAAGGGGTTGACCAATCACTGTGCTTGTAGTGTGATCAAGATGGCTGCTAGAGACCCGTCCGCTCCAGCGCTAGACATTGCTGTGGTGGTAGACCCAGTGTCCCGGGGAGCACAGAAGGTTGGACCCATCTTGTCTGTGCTACAACAGGCCACCAACTGTCACATACGCATCTTCCTCAACTGTGTGGACAAACACTCGGACATGCCACTCAAGAGGTTGGTCCAGACTCTCGTATAACCATTGACATTTGGATACCGGAGTAGAAATTCCATGTATACGTACAGTAGCCTCCAGCTGTAGCCTTTTGTGTATTAAAAAAAATCTTATCTGAATGAGCCACTCACAGAGTTTGCTGATGTAGAAAATTCTATTTTCACTCCTAGTTTTAATTTTCTGGTGAAAAGTACCTGGTGTAGGAATACAAAGGAATGTACCAACTAACCCTTGAATTTCCTAACAAGAAAACTACTTTTTATCTTTTTAATACTTTATTTTGTAGTGTTGGTATAAAAAGTCTGAGTTAAAAAAAATGTCCATTCTATGATCAAAAAGTAAAGATTTAGGTGGTAATTATCTTTTGTCAGTCCTGTTTGTACATCGTGCATATTGACAAGTTTTAATTATGTCATACTCATACTTTGTTGTTCACATATGCAATCAAACATTTACAGTTTGGTAATACTTTTGGAACTACGACGGCAAAAGCCTCCGTTTAATAACTGGATCCAACCATTGCCAGAGAAAACATTTTGACATCCAACTTGCCACATAAAAACTTTGACTTTGGATACTGAAGAAGGTCTACATCCTGTGTGATCCATCTGAAGCAAATTTTCTATTTAGAACATCTGTGAATTCACATTTGTGAAAAAAGCACTAATGTGCGAGTGCGAGCTATTGTCAAAATGTCTTTATTCCTCTTAATTTCATATAATTTCATAGTGGAATATTGCAGACGCTATAGTTTACCATGAGTGAGTTGGCTTAGTTAAAAAGTTTGTGTAGGTAATTGACTTCACTCTGTTAATGACTCAAACCAACTATATTCTTGTTTATACTAGTTACAGCTTTAACATGGGAAGGGGGGCGTCGACTTGCATCAATTGTCAACTTGAAATGTTGTGTTTTCCAGCAATGTCTGATATTCTTCCTGGGACGTTTTCAGTTTCTATCGGTACGTACTAGAGCCAGAGGTACAATTCACTGCCGACGGACACTTGGCGTCGGGCCCGATGGCTCGGTTCTCCAACATGCCACCAGCGCCGCTGCTGACACAGAACATGCATGTGCCAGACAACTGGCTGGTGGAGTCCGTGGCCAGTCCGTACGACCTGGACAACATCAGACTGGAGGAGGTGGAGAGTGTGGTACACAGGTAAAACTTGACATACTGAAAATCAGGTGGTGTATGTGTAGACTACTCTAGGGAATAGTCAAAACAAAGATTTTTTAAAATTTATATTACTTTTTGAGGAAATAGCACTTGACTTAGAATGTGGCAACTGACTTATCGAAGATAATAATTCCAGACAGTTCACCTGTTTGTGGAACACACAAAAAGTAACACACCATTCTAATATTTCCTTCTTCTCGTTGTTCGTTGGGGTCGTATGGGCAAAATATGAAATTATTGGGTTTTGGATTTTTTGTGTATTATGGATTATTGTTTCTTGGGGAATTTAGCTGTGTAAAAACCAACTAATCCTACTCCTGCTTCACAAATGTATTGAGTTAAAATCTTGTAAAGTGGTCTTATGTTATATCTTTCATCAACATCATGTGTCTGCTCAAGCAATTTTTAGAAAGGGGCAGAGTTCAGATAAAAAAATCGTATACATGTTACGTTTGACCTTTTGGGTGTTTGTTAGCCTCAGGACTCAAATTTTCTCTGACAAGAAGGCAAAACTATATTCAGTGGCGGCGATAAGAACCCGCGGGCCCCCCTCTCCGTTTAAAAACATTTTCCCATGTATGCCGCCTAAACTTGCAATTTTGCAATAAACTTGACAAGGCATCTCACGAGGCGTCATTAAAATCGTAAATACTTCCCGTAGTCATAAGTAATGGAAGAAACATTATCATAGTTTACCGTGGCTGCAAATGCAACCAAACCTATGACATCATTAGAAAGCAGCATCATCGTCTCCCGCGTTCACGGCCCAATCTAATATCACGGCCTAATATCTCACCGCGACCCGGCGGTGGTGATGGGTAAATCATTTTTCCGTAATCGCGGCTAAATCCTAGATATATCTCTCGCTAAAAAAGAAACGTCATTATCGTCTTCCGCAATCGCGGAAAAATACTGAACATCTGCGGCGGCGGAGACATCGTCATCGTCATCGTCACCCGCGGGGAAATGTTCTCGTCGATATCCGCGATCGCAGCAAAAGCGTAGGCCTAATCTTTCAATTTCGTGAGCGTGATCCTCAAGGATATAAAAGCTTTTACTTTTAATTGTGCATTATTGTATTGTATGGAATACTGAGAAAATCGGCTCGAGCTTGATTTTCTGACTTTGTGCTTGATCGCTCAAGCTTTTAGTCCAGGCTCTGCTCGGCTCGAAAATCTACATTATAGGCCTATTATAAAAATCAACCATTTCCAAAGCAACCCGATTTTGAACCGATCTGATTTGGCCTGAGGCCCTTAGGTAAGTAAAATTTTTTACCTGACTCGATATAAACACATCTTAAGTGCGAAGTAAACAAATCTAAAGGGCATCCTCCTAATAGTAAGACATGAAATGAAATGATTTCTTCTTGATATGAAATTCTTCTTTAAGAATTCCATTCTCAATGAAAGAATGTAATTATTTATTTGCTAGTCCCCTAGCCACCTAGGTTAATTTGCCGATTTGGTCGTAACAAAATTGTCAAGTTTATTTAGTCGAATCAGCATAGAGGATCCTCTATGGTGTCACCCGCTGGGGGCTAGGAGGATTAACATTAATGTTTTATCTTCCTAGGCCAGAGGCCACATTGCTTATAAATACGGCCCTATTATTATGCAACTAATTTTGACTGCGCCTTCACACAATCCACGGGGACAGTTAATGCAACCCGCATGACTGACGACAATTCTTTTACTTGGTAGGTTGGTAGATAATTTATATCGATCGGTCAAGTAATAGTGTTAGTTTAGCTGTTGTAAACTACTTGAACTATAGGTTTGAACAAATTTTCATAATAAAAAAACGTATTTTAATTCTCATATAAATATTGTTATGATAGGGGACCCGTGTGGCTGAGCCTGTCACACTATCGCGGGCCCGTGTGCCGGTAAAATTTACTGAAAATCCCGGTCAAGGCTCACGGGCCCCCCTAGCTCGCGGCCCCCCGCACCGCGGGCCGCTATCGCCGCCACTGACTATATTCCTTAAAAAACTCATTTAAAACCAAATATTGTATTCTTGAATTATTTACTGAATAAGTGCTTTACCAATCTAACTGTGATCTGTGATGGTTGCAGTCAGTTTGAGCTGGAGTACCTGTTGCTGGAAGGTCACTGTTTCGAGGCAGGAGGCAATCCTCCCAGAGGTCTGCAGATCACTCTGGGCACTGAGTCTGAGCCGGTGCAGGTAGACACTATAGTCATGGCCAACCTGGGCTACTTCCAGCTTAAGGCCAACCCTGGCGCATGGATACTGCGACTACGCCAGGGCCGGTCTGCGGATATATTTGATATCACCAGGTGCGAAAATGTTGTAGATATAATAGTCTAATTTTAGAAATAATTGTGTGTTTCCAATAATGGATTAAAGTAAAACTCTTTTAATCTGGTATCCGTCTAACAATTTTTCTGAATAGGTCTTCCAGGTCAAGATTTAAAACCAGACAATAACAAAAGATCCAATACTAAAGCTTCCGACATTTTTTGGATGTTGTTGAAACTCTTGGCTTACATGTAATTGTTATCCAGCCACGAGGGATCAGACACCCCTGAGAACTCTACAGACATTAAAGCGTTGATCAGCTCATTCAGACCTCACGTGCTGAAGCTGCGAGTTACCAAGAAGCCTGACAAGCTGTACATGGATCTCCTCGGAGAAGATGATCAACCCAACAGTGGCCTGTGGAACTCCATCACCAGGTAATACTTCTGACTTAATAGTTACCTATTTCAATACAGTAGACTCTGGCTCATTTGGTTTGGCCTTGTTCGGGACTCCCGCTAGTCCGGATCGGCAATTTCGATTTTTTTTAAACAACCAAGACTACCTCGGATAATCAAAAACTTGGATAACACGGCGGTAAAAATTATAGGTTATAATTAGACTAGTGATGGTCGGATCCGGATATCGGACAACCGGATCCGCCGGATCCAAGCTGGAACCGGCACCGGATCGGATCCAAAAAAATTCCGGATCCGATTTTTTCCCGATTTACTTCTAACATAAAGCTGTCTGTATCCATGTACAAGACCAGGTTTTCCCGATTTTTTACTCACACAAAGCTGTCTGTATCCATGTACGCTCATCCGGACTAAAGTGGCGGACGTCCGGTCCGGATTACAAAAAATCCGGACTATCGAGAGTCGAGCAAATACACATTACTGTATATAGCCGTTTTTTTTTCAATTTTGTTCCAGATCCACAGTGATAACTGGGCAAATGCACTTCCACCGGTAATAATGTTTACTGCCGAATTTTGTTCCAGGTCCACAGTAATGATAGCTGGGCAAATGCACTTTCACCGGTAATAATGTTTATGGCCGAATTTAGTTTCAAGTCCACAGTTATGATAGCCGGGCATATGCACTTCCACCGGTAATAATTTTTACCGCTGAATTTTGTTCCAGGTCCAGAGTAATGATAGGCCGGCATATGCATCTTCCACCGGTAATAATCTTTACCACCGAATTTAGTTCCAGGTCCACAGTAATGATAGCTGGACAAATGCACTTCCACCGGTAATAATGTTTACCAAACCGGTAATAATAGCTGGTAGTAATGTTTACACCGGTAATAATTTTTACCACCGTGTTATCCGGCTAATCGGTCTTGTACATAGATACTGACAGATTTGTGTTAGTAATAAAATCGGGAAAACATCGGTCTCGTATGCCTGTATCACCCCTTGCTTGCCTCTCTTTGTTATTCGTTCCAGGTCCACAGTACTGATAGCCGGGTATGTGAAACTCTACAGGTAAAATACCCTGTGTCTGTGTACAAGAAGATTATCTGTGTCCATACAGGGTGAATAAAAAAGTCAAGACTCCCCCATCTAATATTTTTCTAAGTTATAACACAGTACAGTCTTCTTGTACACAGGCACAGGGTATTTTACCTGTAGAACTTCACATACCCGTCTATCAGTACTGTGGACCTGGAACGAATTTAAGGAAGAGATTAACAAGAGGTGATTCAGGCATAAATAAATTGGATGCTGCATGCAAAAACCACGATATAGCATACTCAAGATCGAACTATTGTAAAATATACACAGATACCCTTTTGGTGGTAGTGCAAACTTAGGACAAAGTTTCATTTTATGATTTTGAAAAGTTGTAGTGTCCCCAAAAAATGAGGGATTATGGGCTCAATTGGAGATTACTCCATATATAAGATGTATTAATCTTTAAACATTACCAATTTAATTTTAAACAGTATGATTTAAATTGGCATTCTGTTAATTACGTTTTTTTTTAAACCCGCCCTTATGACAGTGTGTATCTGGATCCGGATCCGAAGATCCTGATCCGGTACCGACACAGGGCCGGATTTAGCATTTTTGCGCCCCTAGGCCCAAATAATTTTCCGCCCCCTAGTCTGGTCACAGTTAATTTCCTTCAAACCTTTATTTAATACTATATCATGCCCATAGACCTAAGTTAATTGCTTGAATACCACTCCTCGTCGGAATCATTGCAAGTTTTTCTTTTTTAGAATTGACTTGTTTAGTCTTAACAAAATGCCGTTTTAAACACTTTAGCAATTTTATGCTTTTAATAAATGCTCACGTTTGTGGCCATGGCACTGAAACAGAACAACTCAACGCAACCCACCGAGAAATCCTGAAAAAAACATGGCCATTGATTCCAATTCCAGGCCCAAAAACCTGAACCCCATAACAGATAACATAGACGTCTACGTGATAACATAGATTAAACATACTCCTTTAGTAGATTTGTCATAATTTTAGATTAGCTGAAAACAATTATTGTTATTTAAGCAGTATGTTTTATCTATGTTTATACATAGTTTATCCAAAATAAAAGGATCTAATCATTAACAATAGGTAATCTCCTGATGTTTATATTACAAGAAATTAATACACACATCATAGAACTAACCCTAAAATAATAGAAACAAAATTACGTAAAAACTAACGTCCAGTATCACCAACATGAACTAGACACGAAAACTTTTGAATTAACAATGTCATAAGAAGTCGACTTGAGTTATATTTAATCTATGGTCGTACTGAATCTAGGTTATATTTCCAAAGCAAAACAGAGCAATACTCCTGCCAACCATACCGATCCTAGGTCTGAGGAGAAAATGACAAGCATTGATGGTGCTTTGGAGGTATTGCATTTTTCTAAAATCTAATGCAAACTGAGATTAAAATTTTTTCGTTAATTTCCCATATTCGTTATTATATATTTTAACTTGATCCTGCAGATTGTTGTAAGCTAATCAAAAGATTAGTTAATAACTTTTGTTTTGTGAAGTGTGGGTGGAAACAATGTCTAGCACGTATGCGCCCCTAATCACTCTGATCACTCTGATCTGGTAGTACCGAGCCCGAGCCAGAGCCAGCATTAGTGGCAGTGCAGTGGCAATACGATGCGTACCCCTTGGGCGCTCGTCAACGTCAACATCCCTACAGCCTACTCCCGTATAGCCAATGATCGTTGTGATTCTGAAGAATTTTTAATTTCCTAACAATAAATTCTTCTTTAGGCAGAGTTTTTTTTATCAACTATGACTATTTATTTTTTGATAGCCTATAAAAAAAATTCCTCTCGACCGTGCGCCCTCTGGGACCTTGCGCCCATAGGGCCCTACTGGGCCTATTGGGAAATCCGGCCCTGTACCGACATTTTCTTGGATCCGCCCATCACTAAATTAGACCAAAATCGTATTGAAACTGGAGAATACGGTTTATCATTACAGTAATAAGTGATTTATGATTACATAAAAAGATATTTCTCTACCAACTTGTACCAACAATCGATTTATTACTGGAGAAATTGCATTTGCACGGCTATCAATACTGTGGACCTGGAACAAAATTTAAAAAACGGCTATATAGAGTACTGTATTTGCCTTGGTTAACCCGGCGGCTTGAATAATCACACCTCGGATACTCACATTTTACGTCTTCAGGCGTTCTTTGCAAAATCTGTGGTAATAATCATACAGTACAGTAGCCGACTGTAATTTACTAGGTGTAAAATGCAGTTCTCTGCTTGCAATATGGAGCGGAGTTAGCATATTAATCCAATACTTTTCTAAAGTCAATGCTACATCTGTTTAAATGGTTTTAAGTTACCTTTGTCAGTAGCTCAAATGGTCGTTAAAACTCTACAACCAGGTTTCGATGCTGAGTTGCACCATGATCACGTAAGTCAGCAGGATAACTTCTTGCTCACATGTTGGTCAAATTGACTTTGTTAAAAAGTTAATAAAAACAATACAGGACGTAAAAAACACATACATTTAAACACGAACAAGTATAAAACATATTACGAACGAGATCAATCTATCGAACGGGCCCGTCACGGTTATCGGCGGCAGGAGGGATCATGGTGCAACTCAGCATCGAAACCTGGTTGTAGAGTTTTAATGACCATTTGAGCTACTGACAAAGGTAACTTAAAACCATTTATTAAGTCTTATAGCTCAAGGGCAGAAAAAACAAAAATGTTTAAATACATCTGTTTCTCGTAAATGAGATACTTGCAGTATCCCACGTCAATGGTATCTTTTGTTCTCATTAATGGAATTATTCCTGTTTTCATTATGCACCTATTCAAAGTCTGCATTAATGGTACGTCTATGTGATATGCAGGAACCCCCCCCCCCCCTCAAACTTCACAGGTTATCCTGAACATGCACATGGGAGCGTAGCTTTAGTGAAACCCGGATGTTTAACCTTATATAATTCTAGTTATGAGCTATGTGACTGATAAATGAGAGGACCAGATTAAATTTAAAGTACTGAACCTTTTTATTATCTCAAAGAATAAACTATTCTATACAACGATAAACAAAAACAAACCCACTAATGAATAGCTAGTTGAAAACGTCCTGGAGGCAGCTAGAACTCTTGAGTATAAAATTCCCAAAAACAAATTTACTTCATATAATTTATATCAAACAAAATATCCGATCCAAAAGAATTTCCCTTATCAAAATCACAAATCCTATTTAACTTTTAATCCCCTTAAAATAAAACTTCCCCTTACAAAAGACATGTGACTAAAGGACCTAAGCCTAAGATAGAGCAACCAGTACTCACCCAAACCTTCTGGGCAGCCTGCCCTGGCCGACTGACCCATTTCTCTACCTCATTTGGCCTATATCTTGAATCCGATAGCTACTGAGTGCAAAGCCATCAGTGTTTACAAAAACACCTCCAGCATGCATCATAGCAAGCAAGGCCTGACCCCAGGTCATCAACCTAGCTTGCCTAGGCTACCCTCCATTACATCTAGTTCACATAAATGGAAAGTCTACTTGCAGTATCCAAAGTCAAAGGCCCATTTGGTTCACATAAATTAGATGTGTATTTGCAGTATCCAAAGTCAATGGTAGGCTTACTTCTGGTCTACAAATGGAATGTCTATTTGCAGTATTCAAAGTCAATGATACGTCGGGTTCACATTAACAAATTGTTTACTTGCAGTATCCTAAGTCAATGGTTCATTTGATTTACATAAATGGAGTGCCTATTTGCAGTATCGAAAGTTAATGGTACGTCTGGTTCACGTCAATGGAATGTCTACTTGCAGTATCTAAACTCAATGGTATCTTTGGTTCACATTAATGGAATTCATATTTGCAGTACCTTACCTTCCTAAAAACACCAGGACCCACGAAACGCTCTCCAACATTTTAATTTTTCTTCCGCTTTTTTAATACTTTACTAATGCAAACTACTGTAGATTCCCACTAATACGAACTTGGTTAGTCCTTGCTTAATTTGAACTTGCCATCACCTATCGCTATCGGTGACAATGTTATCAGTGGTAATCTCGTGAATATTTGCCATGGTCATGTGGATATCATCATCGTCTTCCCAAAACACGGTAGAAATCTTGTTTATCCACTGTGATCTCAAATTATCATCATTGTTTTCCGCAATCACGGAAACATTTATCGTCATCCTCCGTGATTATGGCAAAATATTGATCATTTCCCACAGTCATGAAAACATTATCATCCTCTTCCGCGATCATGGACAAATCTTACAGGAACAGAAAAAATCATTATTGTCTTTGGTGATCGCAGTAGAACCCTGAACATCCCCTGCGGTCATGTAGATATCATCATCGTCTTGCATGAATACGGGAATATATTAAACATCTCCTGAACTCGTGGGACAACATCATTGTCTACAGCAATCACAGAAACTTAATCTGTGATAGCAGTAAAATATTGAATAGCTCCTGTGGTAAGGAAACTTCATCGTCAACTCCCACCATTGTGGAAAAATATTTAATGCCTCCTGCGATCACGGGAACATTACTATTGTCTTCCGTGATCACTGTTTAATGATTGTCAGTTAAGCAATTAATTTGGTCATATTATTATGGTCCTCAGGTAATCTGCTTACTACTGTTCCAAACATGGTTCTTGTCCCAGGTCACTAGCGGGTTTGTACTGTATAAGTCAAAATCCAAATCATTAAGTCAAAATACTAACCAATAAAAAGCACAACAGAAATAAGTGGAATATACTTAAGAGCTTTCAAAATCACAAGTTGACGCAACCCTCATGACAATAAGCATGATCTTTCCAGGAATGTTATTACCATCCCTATCTCCCATAAGACCTATAGAGCCTGGTGAACAAGTGGAATAGAGTATAGTGTTAGAGCAGGAGCCTTCGGTCCCTAAGGTTTCAGGCTCAAATCCCGACGATCACCATTGACTTTAGCTATATGATAACTCCACGCCTCTTTAGGCATAGCCTGAAGTAGTGTGTAAAACGGTTTTGAGTTAGAGACTAGAGTCCTGGGATGTGAAAGAAGGTTGAAAAATCAGCGCAAGCTATGTAAAATAAATGGTTGAAGAAGAATTAACATTTTTAGTGGTTTTCACTGAAGATAATATCTTAGCCTTACATGGTCAAACACTGATAACTAAAAACTTTACGTGTTGCAGATTTTACTTTGAATATCCATTCACCAATCCAATTTATGAACTGAGGTAATTTGTATTAACCAACCCAAACACCCTTACTTATCAGTGTTGGAAAATCAAAATATTTTAAAATTCATTCATATATTTTTATTTTTTACAACAATTTATGTATTACCTGAAATGGTTTTTGTTTTTAGTTTTAATAGTTATGTATCATTAAGTAAAATCTGATCCCCTGTAATTTACACTGGTGTTTATACTTGTGTAGCTTTGTAGAAGATTAAAATCAAAGATATAACATACTTCCACATATATATTTTTTTATTATTATGGATTGTGTTTTTTGATAACCATTTAATAACTGTTATTTCATCTTCTTTAAATCTATCTTAACCAAATAAACTATTTGTTAATCCTATAGTATTATAACCAACCATTTTATCACACAATGACTATCAATTATGACCCAAAAAGCCATCACGCACCCTTTTTCATGATTAAATAGATATATGAACTGTATCTAATCGTTTCAGTCCTTAGATATTGTAGTTATTCATAAAGTAATAATTGTGTACACTACTACCACAAAGAATATGTGTGAAATCTATATAAAAATAGTTAAAGATTGCTTATCTATTCTGTTTATTGGTGTTGCTATGTTTTCTTCTTTTTTGTTCAATACATTCAATATGGAAGCATACACAAATTAAATAATTATCTCAATACTGTTTAGTTAGAGTGTAGATGTCTGCTCTGAAGAACTGTCTATAAATTATTCCTAAAGAATTAAAAATCAATAATTCTATGATAAACTTGGCATTTTTGCCAATTTTGTTATTGTTATTATAAAAGACCAACTTTCAGAAAATTTTTAAAAATATAATTGTTAAATATCGTAACAAGTTTGTGAAGGAATTTTGTTGTGAAACACCAAAATATCTTTAGTAAATTATATACCTATATATCAGGCCATAAATGATATCCAAAACTCAGGAAAATACTTATATACTAAGAAAATATTGTTATTTTAAGACAACCATGATGTTCCAATGTCTGCAAGTCAGCAAAATGAAAATGGGTGTCGGCTGCTAGTGCCACTGCAGCACAAAATAATTACACAACAGTAGACGACAGTTAGTTATTATTTCACAACATCATGAAATCCAATACAGCACAATATTTACTCAAAATTTATAACTATATATTTATTTTTGTTTTCATTACACATTGATGTAATGTATAGGCAAGATGGCATAGTGATGATGTTTTCATGTCTTTAGATATTATGCATCAACAAAGTAAATTCCATCTCGTAAAGATCTGAAGTAGAAATATCGTGTCCAAAGATCGCGAAAACTTTATCCTGAAAAACCCCAAATATTCAGTCTTGATAAACTGTAGTAATTTTATTTTTATGGTATAGCCTCTGGATCACTGATTTTTACAATAAAAGGTTTAAATTACCTGTATGCTGAAGATGTGTTTTTACAACACGAAACGGCTGTAGTCAATTAACTACAAACCAGGATCACTTGACGATACAGGTAATTTAAACCTTTTATTGTAGTAATTTTGTTTTTTTGACTATGGCTACAAAATTGAAGTTTCAGGCGTCCATCTATTGTTTTGTTTTACTTTCTACCTATAAAACTATGACCAAGAATTACTGATCTTATTGTGTGTAGCACGTTTAGCTCCAAGGACGAGCCAGTAGACCCGGCTGACACCACCATCAACATCTTCTCTGTAGCCTCCGGACACTTGTACGAGAGGTTTCTTCGCATCATGATGTTGAGTGTGCTAAAGAACACCAAGTCTCCTGTCAAGTTCTGGTTCCTCAAGAACTATCTTTCTCCCACGTTCAAGGTGAGTGACATTATTTTATTCTAGATCTCTTTCTTTCTTCTTTTGTCATTTACTGTTTGTATTTAATTTCTCGTAAGGTAACATTCCAAACTCTGGTCTTGTCTAACGTCAATCATTTGTTATAAAGCATCATTAATTTGGGTGGGAAAAAGATTTGTAATGCTCCAATACAGCATTCTATTGGTATGTCACATATACATTGCTAAACCTTAGCCATTGTACTAACTAAATTGAATTGAATTTAAATTTATAGTTTAAAACGTATGGCATCTGATTTTAGAATTGAATAGAATCAAACTAGCAGCTTTCAGATTTGAGGGTGAGCAATACCACTCGCCTACCCAGACATTCACATTTTAATGGGGCTTTAAAGTATTGTAAAGTGACAAGATAAAAACTAAGTTTATGGTTCTTAAATTCAATTTTTAGTGCCAAAGTGGAGTAAATCAGGGTAAAAAATCAATAATAAAATAATAAAATGTGCTTCATTTCTCCCAACAAGGGCAAGTCTTTCTATCATTGATTCAGTAACATTTTTGTTTTAAACTTGTATGCAATATAAGATAAGATTTTATTTTGCCAAATTAATTTTGTACAAGTGAATAGGCACATCAATATTAAGGTACAATACAAAGCACTAAATACATTTTTAAGATAAGCCTATGTTTACTCAAACTTATCAGCTCTCCATACTCCTTTAATATACTCAGCAACACAATAAAAACTATAGTCAAAGGTAAAAGGCTCTACTGGCCTTAAAAATTCTAAAATTTGTTTCTTGAGACATAGAGCACTGGCATTGCTGCCTTAGTTTCACAATCTGTCTCGCTCTACCAACTGAGCAACCGACTTACCAAATCTGCCTAGTAAAACTCACCATACATGCACATAAACTACTGTCACATTTCAATGATGTTTTCCATTGCCAAACAGGACTTCCTGCCAAGGATGGCCAAGGAGTATGGGTTCGAGTACGAGTTGGTTCAATACAAATGGCCTCGCTGGCTGCACCAGCAGACGGAGAAACAGAGAATCATTTGGGGCTACAAGATACTCTTCCTCGACGTGCTCTTCCCCCTCCACATCAAGAAGATCATCTTTGTGGATGCTGATCAGGTACGTTTTAGCCTTTAGTAAGAAGATAAATACTATGTCTCATTTGTTGACTGTTTACAACAACCCTCCTAACACAATGATGGGTTTCAGGTCAAGAACAGATCTTATAGCCATCAATCTGGCCCACATTTGTTTATACTATGTTCAAAAAATTTCGGCGGTTTGAGGGGAAGGGATTCCATCCCCTCCACTTCACCCTAACTGTGAAACAACAGCTGATGTGTAAATTAAGCTAAAAATAGGAGTCGGGGAATCCAGGAAACCTTCCCCTTAAACCACCTAAATTTTATGAACAGACTATAATAACCTTTACAACTGTACATAAAATAAGTAAGACATTAGACATTAGACATTATTTATTTGCACATAACATTCTTTTAGATGTGACAACATATAGCACAGGTGCATTGTCAAAATTGAGCCTAGACTAGAAAAATACAAAGTAACAGGAAAAAAATACCTAGCCAATTTTTTGCAAAGTTAGAATAGATTGATTAATTACTTCTCGTTGTATTTTAGTTACGGTATTATGGATTAAGTAAGCCTACATATTGCCTGGTGTAAACATAGTACATGTCTGTAGATAAGTGGAGTGCAATGGGTGTGTTGCTCGGATGATTTCTGATCAAATCGGACACTTACATCTTTTGCTTTATCTGTTCAAAAAGTAAAAAAACATTGTCGTTCAATTTTTCAGCTTGTGTATTTTTTTAGGGGTCTGCGGTGCACCGAAAAAGTCGGTACGGTACGGTACAAGCTTAATTACCGTCATCGGTTTGGTACAGCATTTTACACGGTACAAATTCGGTTCGGTACAGCCTATTATAATAATAAATTACTTTCAGTTTACTGGAGCACATAAAAGTCCTCGGTTCTCGGTACAAAATCGCCAAAATCGGTACGGTACGCGGCTACTTGTATTTTTGCGTTTTTCTGCTCAGAACTGTATTGAAACCATTATTTTAAACTTTAAGACATTGACATTACTATGAAAATGGATAGTATCCTACATTCATGGTTTTCTAACGACAATTACTGTACCACACATTTTACTACTACGAGGATTGTGTCAAGAAAAATCACAGTTAAGATAGAGATACTTTGAATAGCCATGATAAAAGTGGTTTTAAAAATAGGATACGAGTTTTTAGGAATAAACATGTTTAAAACATTTATTGACAAGATAATTTCACACAACTGGTAAATTATTTCCGACCAACACAATGTCTAGTTGTTTGGTTTCAATACAGTTCTGAGCAGAAAAACGCAAAAATACAAGTAGCCGCGTACCGTACCGATTTTGTACCGAGAACCGAGGTACAAAATATTGTACCGTACCGACATTAAATTTTCTGTACCGCAGACCCCTAATTTTTATATATAATCATGCCCTTCCCTTAAAATGTTTGCTCAAGTCTGTGTATATTAGTGTCTAACAATCAGTGTGTTTTCCAAACTGACATTAGTTTGCATGTTACTTACAGATTTTTTTGATCACATTACTCTTAAAATACAAATCCCTTCTATTTACAAAGATGTTAGGTTTAACAAGTTTTGTTTTCCCATAGCTCTGTTTTGTTGTAAAATTGTATTCTTGTTCTTTTAAGGTTGTCCGAGCAGATATGAAGGAACTAGTTGATTTAGACCTAGGAGGAGCTCCGTATGGTTACACTCCTTTTTGTGACAGTCGAACTGAAATGGATGGTTTCAGGTAGGTTGGATAATTTTGATTCATCTTTTGTTTTGAGTTAAAGTAAAATGACTGTTTTGTCTACTATCCTTCACTCATAACTAGAGATGGGCCGATTCCTGAATTGGTCGATTCCGATACCGATTCCGATTCTACAACTTTGGTTTCAATTCTCGATTCCGCACTCGATACCGATACCTGTTAAAAATTCATTTAATAACACATATAACTACTTATGATATAATTTTATTTAATCTTTATACAATAAGATAGGCCTAACTGCATTGTATTGATTAAGGTTACATAGATTAGGTTAGCCAATAAGGAAAATAAGATAGGGCTATTTCAAGAAGACATGAATTTTAACATATTTTATTAAATTAAATTGAGCACAATCACCAATTTAGGTTGGCCTAAAATGTTCTCAGAGTTTTTGTTTTTCATAAGAATTCATAATTCGTACATCTAGGCCTACAATGAATGTTCCATATTGCTTGAGTTATAAACTCAAAGTCATCTTCAATATTGTCATCATCAATATCACTTAAAAAAATATCACTTAGTGTCATATAAAAAAGTTATGGAGTTCGTCACATCACTAGAACGGAGTCCGGAGTCGGAGATCATAATCATAATCCATTTTGAACAACTCACTATGCACGCACAGAAAACAAACAACAAAACCAAAACATAGGTTAAACAATTCATTTGCCATTTGCAAACTCATGAGTCATGACAGCTGTTTCAGTTCAGTCAGAGAGAAACAAGAAACAACATACAATAACGATAAAAATACATCGCTAAATGGCTTTCTACAATAGTCACCATGAAGCCCTGAATTAGCTGAACAGTTCGTGGGGTCTCATATCTTATAATGTCATAGCTTATAATCGTGAATTTGTTCCATAGCTTATAATCAGTCATAAGCTATGCCACACTTTCACAAAAAATTATAAGCTATGCCACAATTTGGAGTTAGAAAATGTGAGTTAAACAACTAGTACCATTGACTATATACACCTTATGTGTATTATATGTATTTATTAAATGCTTGTACCTAGTGATGTGGGCCGGGTAAATACCCAGTGGGTAGGTAAATATAAATTGGGTATTTACCCGGGAATTTACCCCAGGCCCGGGTAAATACCCAAAAACTGGGTATTTATAATTTTTATTTAAGTTATAGAAGATTGAGATGTTTTTTTGCAATTATCACCCTGTAAGGATAGTAAAATGATGATAAAATGTGTTAATTAAAATTTCATATGGTCACTACTAGCATTTTACTTCTGGGTACAATCGCCATAAATACCCAGGTCTGAGCATATAGCATAATCGGCATAAATACCCTGGTCGCATGGTTGCACTGGTCCTGACCTGTTATGATTTTTTAATTTCTATGATGGATAGATGAATTTATTTTATTGAAAGTGAAGAAAAATAATTTGCAAAGTAATAATTATCTATTTTTATACTTATTTAATACGCAAGCAGATTTTTTGTGACAATTACTCCTCCGAAACTACTGAACCGATTGTCATGTTTTTGGTGTCATTGGAAAGAGAGTTACGTGAACTTGTGCAGGAAACTTTCTTTTTACGGAAATACTGAGAGAGTGAGGCCCTGAAGCCCTTTAAAGTTTTTAATTTCTCCATAAGATTAACATTGGAAACAAAAATTGTTATGAAACTCCAGCTGTTGTCAGAAATCAAAAGTGAGAAGAAGAGCATGTTAATTATAAACAGTTAATAAGTTTGCTAATTTAACAGTACCTACATACATTTGCTGACTTGGTTGAAATTCGTTTTAAAATAACGCCTATAATATTGCCAGCAATTGCTCGAATTCGAGCAACAGGGACACTAGTTAATTATAAAAATTTAACCTAGTAGTGGCCTAGGCGTGTAAACAACTTAAGAAAATAATTCAAACTCAATCTGTAGGATGGCAGGATTTAATAATATTTTTGTTCTAGATCTTTTGTTGGTATCAATGGTATCAAAAAAAAAAAACTAATTTCATAAACTTGTGATACAAAACATTTAAATCTATAGCACAATACATCTTTCAAAACTATATTAAGTTAGACCAAAAAAGAGGAGATACATTTTTTTAGTAGGTTTATCCAAATATATTATTTTTTCCAACTAAGCGGTAACACAGAAAATTTTAATTACTTTTAGTATTCTGCCATTCTGCCTTAGGTCTCTCTAGCTTTCCAAGCCTTTTATACGATAAAATTTTTTAACCATCATAATTTAATAACAGTAGAAGTAGGTTTAGGTTCATTATTTCTCTGATGAGGGGTTGTCTTGATAAAAAAATGAAACCCCATTCTTATTTAGTTTTATTTAAAAAAAGTGCTAAATCATTAAATAAAAGGTACTAGCAAAGCTTCAAGTTACTGTAAAAGGTGTTATAGACTATCCTAATTTTTCATGTAATGATAACAATAACATATTTAGGGGTGAATATAAATTAATTTCAATTGATTTCATAAATACCCAAAATACCCGGGTATTTATGGATTTTGGGTATTTACCCGGGTAAATACCCAGGGTATTTACCCTGAGTTTTAAATACCCGGGTATTTTACATCACTACTTGTACCATCAGGCAACATTGCCTTTGATCTGACAACATGGCGGCAACTAGAGTTCTGTTAATTGACATTGACACTGTTGTCATGTCAACTGAACACAGCTCGTTATACCATACCGTCATTGCTACTCGTGAAATGCAAAGGCAATCTATTTTGTATTATAAAACTATTATGAATGTGAGATAATGAACTTGGAATTATTTATATTAGCTGACTTCAGATTATTCCAAATAAACTATGATTTGACACTCTTCACAACCTTCAATGTCAGTTGAGTTTAGCATTATAATTAACCTCACTTTTCAGAATCGGTATCGAGTACAATGAAGCGAAGTATCGAGTATCGGCGATTCTTCGATACCACTGGTATCGAAGGTATCGAGGTATCGAGAATCAGAATCGGCCCATCCCTACTCATAACATTGATCAAGACGGTCAGATTGCTGATGCTGTTTATTCATCCTGTTGTTGACAGCTGCATTCTAATGTCTGAGGCTTAAGTTTACACAGTTTAGGAAAGAGATATATACTTGTTGATAGTGTATCAGAAGTCAAATATTTTAAATAACACAACAAGTCTTGTGGTTTAGGTTCTGGAAGCAGGGCTACTGGCGCAATCACCTGCAAGGTCGTAGATACCACATCAGCGCTCTCTATGTGGTTGATCTTAAGAGATTCCGCAAGATAGCAGCCGGGGACAGACTGCGAGGACAATACCAAGCTCTGAGCCAGGACCCCAACAGTCTGTCTAACCTTGACCAGGTAATTTCCATACTTAGATGAAATGCAGAATGCACAAACTCTAATGGGAAAAGTGGGACTCGCACCTACTAAAACCCCTGTTGGTCCGATGGAATCAGGTTGGAACCCACATTCATGCTGATAAATTCATGACTGAATCACCTGTTTTTTTCAGTTACTGAGAAGTCATCTATACTAATACTCCATATTGTTATTATACACGTATTGTACTAAAAATGAGTATCTGAATTTTATTTTAGTTTAGATATGTTGTTACAAGGAGCAACCCTGCTGGTAATAATACAATTATATTTAACTGGTTGGGTAGCTGAATGGTTGTAGTGCTCGCCTAGCAATCAAAAGGTTGCTGGATCGATCCTGAGAAAAGTCCGTAGTCTTTTTGATGGTTCGAAACTGAATCAAGCTGTCCCTAATCATTGGTTTAATAAATTATCCAGGCTAATGAAATAGCTGATCTTAGTCAGTAACAAAGCTACACAAATCATTGTAGTTGGTGTCCACATCTTTATTTGATAATCATAATAAACAAGGATAACATCCCATTTGATTATTGGTTATGCCTTTTTTACATTCCTGACTGTTTCAATGCTGTACATTCTACAGGGTGGTAAAAAAGTCCCAGGACTGTTAAATATTTTAAAAAATAATGTAGATAGAGCTACAATACTTGGTACAAAGTTACAGTGCATAAAACTCTATTTTAACACATATTCAGTGATCCAATAACTCTTCAGGGGGACGGCCCACAAGGAGTCGGAAGAAAATCTTAAATGGAAGCATTGGTCAATATGCACATCAAATTAAAGGTCTTTTTTAGTAGAATACAATGCCGCAAACCGCACTTCAAAAAGTTGATCCTGCGCAACTGTCATTTTGCGCAGGATCGACCTTTTGAAGTGCGGTTTGCGGCATTGTATTCTACTAAAAAAGATCTTTAATTTGATGTGCATATTGACCTATGCTTCCATTTAAGATTTTCTTCCGGCTCCTTGTGGGCCGTCCCCATGAAGAGTTATTGGATCACTGAATATGTGTTAAAATAGAGTTTTATGCCCTGTAACTTTGTACCAAGTATTGTAGCTCTATCTGCATTATTTAAAAAAAATTAACTGTCCTGGGACTTTTTTACCACCCTGTATACATCACTTTATGCTCTCACAATTTTTCACTTACTGTTTTACTAGTTGTAGTAAAAGTAGGCTACAAATTTGCCACAAACAAAAGGTTAGTGAATAAGAATTATAATGGTATTTTACAGCAGCTAATTCTGTTGGTGGCACAGTTGAAATGTGATTTTTCAACTGTGTACTAATTCTACTTTGGAATGGGATGCCTACTTATATTATCAGTCAAATGTTTAATCTAATCTATGTTTGTTTCCTCTACAGGACTTGCCCAACAACATGATACATCAGGTGGCCATCAAGTCTCTGCCTCAGGAGTGGCTGTGGTGTGAGACATGGTGTGACGACCAATCCAAACAATCGGCTAAAACCATCGACTTGGTCTGTACAGTAGTACTATGTTTAGTTTGTAAACCACTGAGGTCTTAAAGCAGAGCCTAAAAGCCATAGTAGTTTTTGTTTGCACATTTTCTTGCCATTTAACCTTTAATCACAACAGGAAATAGGCGATGTCAAAGAATAGTGGTACTAATTAATGGAAGTATTTCACAATTGTATAGAAATTCTTGACTGAGTAAAAATGGTTGTAAATTAAGCCTATTTTCTGCTGAAAAGGTTGCATGTGTGTGTTTCTGAGTAGCTTTTGAATGCGCCTCAAAATAAACTTATCCCTTTTAACCAACACTTAATCCCTTATTTTCATCTTTAAAAACACAGCAGTAAGGTGCTGAGTACTACCACTACAATGTGATATACCAAACTGTATAAACTCAAATAACATAATAATTTTTTTATGAAGTAACACTGTAAAATTTAAATTTGTAACAAAATGTATTAACACTTAAAATTTACAATGTCGTTCATTTACAGTGTAACAACCCACTGACCAAGGAGGCTAAGTTGACAGCCGCCATGCGTATTGTAGAGGAGTGGAAGGATTATGACGACGAGATCAAGAGGTTACAGCTCCGGCTCGGAGCTACAGACGAACACGAAGAAGAAACTGTGACACATCAAACACCAAGTAAGCTGCACTATCTCTAATACAGTTTTATTTTTGTTAATCCCACTTTGTTACTGCTAAAATTGCTTCAATCTAGTCGTAAAAAACAAAACAAAACTTATCATGACTTGTATATTGGTATCTCTTCTGGTTGAATTCAAATTCATCACAAAGCATTTTCATCTTCAAGATTTGTGTTCCTCTTGAAAAAAAGAATCCTTGGAGATTAATTTTAGCGGATTTTCCTATTGGGAAGTAGCTATTACCGTAGGTGTCACGGTAAGACCTAGGCCTGGGACCGATTTACTTTTTAATTTTGATGTCCCCACAGGCAAAAAACACCTTCCATTCAAAATGTATTGTATATATATATTAAGAATGAGTCAATTCCAAAAGTCGATTTACAAAATCTTTTTAAGCATTTCATACTGTATGAGAAAAAAAATACATGGCTCAAAGAGTTTTTCATCCTCCCTCACTTTTAAAATTGAGTTTTTACGTTAAGTCACTTTTGATCTAGTGGCAAAACAAAATAAATCAATTGTCTGGCCAGCCGAGTGGTTATATTTCTTGCCTCCAAATCTGAAGGTCGCTGCTTCCTTTCAAAGGAACAAAAGGTCGACGTTAGCTAGTAGCTTTGACCATCAATAGAACTGGACATTCCATCTTGTAGCTTTTTAATCAAAATGTAATTGTAGAATTGAGCCACTGTCGGTACACTGATGTAAATTAAATTACCAATGTCTGTCAAATATGCCGTCTTTTTAACCAAATCAAACCCACAGCACAGCTTATAGTAAGCCATAGTATTTGTCATGTCTTTCCAACTACCATTAACAAAAACACAGTAAATAGAATTTTATACTTTAGTGCCTTCTGTGAGTAGCTAATTTAACTTTGTCCTATTTTGGTAAAACTAGGCTACAGCTGGTCCATACAATTTGGATGTATACATCAGCATTAAAAAGTTAATGCTAGTAAAAAGGCAACAAACGTAAAAAGTGCCAAGGTAAACTCACTATAAAAAATCAAACAATGACAAGTTGGTTTGTTTCACACACAATATTTCTGTTTCAGGCCACAGAGAACACTCTGAGTTATGACACTGCAGCCTCAGTCACGCAACTTCGCCGTTTGTTCGTCTCACTCCTAGCTGCTTTGTTTAAAAAGCAGTTTTTATTTACTCTGATGAATTGTCCGGTTTGTTTCCTCATTGTATGATGTATGATTTTCACCAAGTCATCTGCGACTGACACTTTTAGTATGTAAAGATTTTTTTAGATACTTATAGTACGAACATTGTTTTAAAGTGATGAACTGTTTATAACTAGTTTAGAAATTCTGTCGAGTGTTAAGATTAATATTTATCAAGACTTTCCTGTAAACAAATATTCTTTATTCTGGTCTTTACGTTCATTAAGTAGCTAAAAGTTTGTGTTTGAAGGATCTACCCAAGTGATTGCAGATAAAACAGTGTGATTTTGGGATAAAAACTCTTCTTTATGTATGATTGAAGATTTCAAAAAATGCTGTGAAATTGGGCAACATAAATTTGCTGCCGCATGCACTGAGCATGGGCGCTTTTTTTATTGTTTCTGGTATTTACAATTCTTGAGAATTCTCTCTGTACACACATTTAGAATACTACTTCCCTTATTCTGAATTGCATTGTCATAAAAAGTTTACCAAATTTAAAGTTATATTTCCCAAGTAAAGGTGATTTTATTGCAATTCTTAGACTTCATCTTCCCAATAACTCTTTTTTGTGCCATAATACATACTTTTAATGTTATAGAAACACACATGGTTGCAAGCTGCAACTTTTTGGAATAATGTGGCATAATCTAGAAAAGAATAAAATTTGATCTTAATCTTCCTCCTTAATAGTTGATATAATAATTCCTGATGTGATTTTTGATTACCTTTAGGAACTATAAATGTACAGACACTGTAAAATAATATTAATTAAATCTTCTCACTATTTTCAACCATCATTATTTTATGACAATGTCTGTAGGGTTTTTTGGGAGGGAGTGGGATTTATTATTGATCTAAAGGCACCAGCATAAATTAATTTAATTACTTCCTCCATTTTATCATCTCAAAAAATGTTTAGTGACAAAACTGTATAGCAATCTTTCAACAGGGTATGTTATCCTTTTAACACGTTCGCTGCGGGCCATCAAATGGCAGGCGTAGCCCCAGTGCGGCGCAGCCCGCAGCGTCGAACAAACCCGATTGCCGGGTGATTGGCTCTCATATTTCGGTATGACGAATAGCAAATAACGTGGGGTGATGTCCTGTTTTGCTTAACACTCACAGATAGCAGCACTGCTTGGAACGTAGCCGGTCCCATCGTATTGCCAATTGGAGGGAGAAAGACGGGACAACAAGTTGATTTTTAAGTTTGCCAGACGGGGATTTTATGGGGAAATTTTACTACCAGCCTACAACACAACAAAAAGCAAGTCACCCACTACACGCTCACGTGGAATAGGTCTGACTTCGAACGATGCTAGAGCAAAAACGATGATATACGAAAGGCATTGCCGAGCGTATCCGATCGGTTACGGCAGCACCTGAACAGCGCTCGGCCCGTATCCAATCGGATACGCCCGCAGTGAACGTGTTAAACAGTTATGAATGATATTTTTCACGGAAAGTAGCTGTTTTCTATGACAGCTGATATCAAAGAAAAAATTTTTTGTCATACTGCACACTGCAGCGAAAACAGCCGTTTTTAAGACATGCGTTGCGGGTCTAAAGTAGCATTTTTACCTTTGGGAGTAAAAGGTGTTTTTAGCTTCTGGGGAGTCAAAATCAGCTGTTGTCATCTCAGTTGTAAATTTAGATTGTAAACAACGGCGTTTATCGAAGGTATGTATTGATTGTTTAATCAGGCGTAGTTAATTGTTTTCTTATGGTAAATAGTTCAACATATCGATGTACACTTACACAATAGACCAAACGATTGAATCACTTCCTGAACTAAATTTGCAAACCATACCTTCCATTCCATTGCATTCCAACCATTGTGCTTCCATTAGCAAACTAAATTGAAAACAAGTTAGAAGTAGTTTTGAGATGTTAAATGAAAACTATTTGTAGTTTGTTCAAATAATGGTGCAATATGACAAAAAATATAGTCCATCACATGGTCATTAAAACAGGTAAAAGTGTCTTTTCAATTCTCACTCCCACTCATTATTTGACCTCGGCTTTGCCTCAATCGTAAAACTGGAGCTCGGGTTGAAAGGAGTCACTTCATGTTAACCTGTTATTTTTTACTGTTTTTTAAGTCGTGATGAAAAGTATTGTTCAAAACGTTTGCCCAAAACCTAAAGTGATGTACTGGTACTTGCTCCAATTATTCCCGTACTCACAAGTGAGGCAGGTGTACCTGTAATCTGCTTTGCCTCACATAATATGAAATTTGAGCGTGCATCGTAAAATGCCACTTTATGTACTTGTATGAAATATACTATGTATTTATGAACAAAGAAAAAAATCAATCTAGAGAAGCACCAATTTATAAAATGCAAAGTGATGCATTCCTAAGAAAACTCATTTCATTCAAAGAACTTTTACCTTAGAAATTATTAAAAATTAATATCTGTGATAAATTCTTTTATTTAAGTACGTTCTTGTACTTCTTTAAAAAATTTGTTTGTGTTTAAAGTTGTATCATGATTATTTTTCAGTAGATATTAAAATTTTTGAATCCATGTTGGTTTTATTGCAGTACCTATCTGTTTAGTGTAAATTTAGTATATAAATTGCAAGGTTAACTAGTAAACGTTAGGTTTAATGACTGCACTAAAAATATTTTAAATATTTATATTTTTTTCAAAATAGATCGAAATGTAAGAAATCAAAAAACCAATACAATATCCAATTGGGCTTTGTATGCCCTAAAAATATGAGAAAAGCAAACTTTCACTGCTCACTGCTCAGACAGGTACGGATTGACCTGGATTACTTAAATATTTTTACAAAGCATCAAGGTTCAAAGTTAAATTTATTAGTAGCTTATTTCACTTATCAAACTCTATTGAGCTTTACCTGTATGGTCGATTTAGACCCTCTTCTGATCCTTCCAGTACTGTTCAACATAATTAGGTCGTATTGCTGCATAAATTTAATGTTTAGTAGTCTACTTATAGGTCCTGTTTGTTTAAAATGGCACGAGGAAAGGCTTTCAACAACACCTAGATTCACACCACCAGAAGAAGCTAGAGCTATTAAATTTATCCAAGGGATTTTGAATGACTGTACCAGTACAAAATAACAAATAACAAAAGCGACGGAGGTGAGGGAAGAGTTCTTGTGTGCATGCTCATTGCTCATCCCACTTGCCACGCAAATTGACACAATCTATTCTGTAGTTTACAACTTTTAACAATTAATGTGTATAAATCTTGTAAATGAAGCTCTCTCTCTCTCTCTCTCTCTCTCTGGGTTTGCAAGAATTCATGTGTAGCTTCATGAGCCAAAAAATTGAAAAAATCTTCTCGAGACAACCACAATTCCATCTTTTTTCTTTCAAGTCAGTTTTATAAGGTTGAAGACCTGAAATGATTTTTAGTCATGCTACTGGTGTTTTGCACAACTATTCCAAATTCAGTTTAAAAGCAATATGAACTATTTAAAAAACATAATTAAAATCATGAAACTGCTTCTCAACTAAAATTATTAGCTACCAAGGTATCTGTAAGCTATCTCTTCTGTAAGGACTAGGAGGTATGACTAGATACCCCCGCCACAGCAAACCTGCAGACTAAGGAAATTTCCATTTGCCTGAATTTATAATTATAAATTCCAATTAAATCTATTGAAATAACATTAGGTTAAATGAGTACCTAGGTTTTGCTGCTACAGGTAGGCTAATAAAGTGTGTTAATTTAGTAGGATATTAATAGCTTAGTAATAAGTAACTATTTTAAAATACAATAAAGAAAAAAGGTTTAATGATTGTAGTTGAATGAAAGTTATGAAATGTGAGATGATCATTTTAGATAAATAACTGCCCAAACCATCTTCTATATCTATTTTTTACTATTATATACAAAATCTAATGGTGTCTGTCTGTATGTGTATTACTAATAGGTGCAAAAACTACTGAACCAACTGGGCTTAAAGTTTACAAAAATATAGCTACCATACCAAGGACCATTATAGGACTATTCGCACTTCGATACTGACCGTGGGCTTTGCCCCTTTGGCTTTAAAAGTTCTGAGGTGAGGATTTTAAAAGTAAATATTGATTGGTCTCCATGGATGCAATGAGAATACTCACAATGTTTACATTTGCTTTGACATTTCCATGTAAACAAGAAGAACTGCCAAATTGCATATTTCACATTTGAAGACAGCTGATCCAATGAAATTAAATATAACATTTCACACAATTATGTGGTTGGTTTATTTAATCTAAAAATGTATCAAAGATCATTTTTTCAAAACTGTGTCAATGATTGATAGAAATAAAAAAAAATATTCTAAAAGCGTTGCTGTATCAACTTAGGCTCTGCTTTCGATTTTTAAAGTGTCTCAAGTGTTATTAAAATAATGCTATTGATATATTTTCATGGAAACAGTAAGAAAATTACAATGTATAGATGTTTTGTATGAATTTGTTGGCTACTTTAAATAAATTCGAACAGCTTAACGTGTGTTAGATAAACTTACATAACTTGCACATCACATTGTTTTTTTTTATATGTATATTTAGGTAAATTTAGTTATAGTGTTTTGCTAAACCTATGCTTAAATCAAACTAAAGAATATCATCAATAACTAAGTCGTCGTCGATTTTGGTGTTCTAAAATCTGTTGTGTAAGTGTAACTATATTTAATTATCAAATGGTAATACAAAATACTCTTATTTTCCTTAACATAACTTTCAGTTCACATTTACTTTATTTGATAAATTTATTATTTGTGTTTTACCACACCACTGATTAAATTAAACCAAGGAAAATATCATAAAACTAAGCAGTCCACAGTGTGCTTTTGTTTCTAAAACCAATGAAATATCTGTTACTATGTTTGCCCAGTAAGTGTGAAAAAATGTAAAGGCAATTGAACGATAGAACTGATTAAAAGAACTGGTTTGTATATTAAATTGCTTGTTGATATTTATTTTTGTAGAGTAGAATCTAAGATGCAATGAAACATATACTGTATTTGCTAAATTAAATTTTTTAGTCCTTGATGCTTTAAAAATTATATTCGTTTTGTCTGCTGTCTTTAATGCTAAATTATTTGTTTGAAATTTTTTATAGTATAGATATAGTTGCATTAACATTTCAAAAGACTATTGAGGTACAACAAGATAAGGCAAGGATAAGATTAAGGGCTTAGATAAGGCACAACAATATTTCTAAAGTTTATAATAGCTGACTTAGTTTTGCTATTGATTTATTGTGAAGGAAAAAATTGAAGATAGAAGGATTTGTGATTTAATATGAAGAAGAGTGAAATTGAAAAAATGTTAATTTAAGTTTAATAATTAGTATTTTTGCAACTTCAAAATTGAAATTGAAAATGTCAAATAATAAAGAAAAAAGATATGTAACTAAGGGAGATGAAAGTAAATTAGGTATTTGAAAGTTGTATTCAAGATTTGGCCAGTTTTTCTCATATCAGCCTACACTAGATTTAACAATCAAAACCCAAATGGTGGTATCCACTACTTTCTAGATTTAAAAGTCATAACGTAAACATTTCTATTAAGGCCATAAAAGTTGAATTTTGTTTGCGTTGGCCGATATGTAACTATTATATGCAGCAGATGTAAAGATTAAAATCCTCTTCCCGCTGCAAAGCACGGGTACAACAGCTAGTAAAAAATAAAACACAAACAAGGAAGGTCTAACTTCTTAACACTTGTTAAATTTGTGCTTGGGTATCAAAGCTTTGCAAGAATGTTTCTTATTAGTATCGAAGCGAAGGAAATAAACAGAACAAGTTTAAAATAGGAAAACAGATGTTTTATTCAACCCTACTGGGTTAAAATAATAAATAAATTGCTCCCTCATGTCCACCTTAAAATACAAAAATCTCCTAATAACAGTTTAATAAAAAACTCTAATGATGTTGTAACCTAAGCTACTGACATTTAGATCGAATCTATATCTTTGACGCGACAACTGTTTTAACACTGAAAATATATATTACTGACTCGTCATTTAATATGCAAGTTTTTCGACGGACATTCTTCATTTTATCTAGATTTCGTGATTAAGACTGTAAAGTGCATTAAATATACCTTGTACCTTAATAAAATGAAGATTGTCCTGAGAAATAAGAATCGTTGCATACAGATCCATGTTGGCACAGCCTCTCCACTGACACTCATGTCCACTGTCATAACAACTCAACCCACCTAACACAACTCGCTAAGATACTTCTGTGGATAAAAAAATACATTTTTAGTTCCAACTAGTTTGTGGGGCTCAATACACAATACTTGATTCTTAATTCAGTTTTAAATACACATAAAGATGACTAAGTTTAATCTTATTCATTGGCTCATGTATATGATTCATGCCATGTACAATTTACAGTGAGATATAAAAATAATTATTGAAGACAACATCAAGTAAAAAAGAATTTTTAAAAATATCCTAAATTTTAAAACTAAAATGTTTTTGGACATAAAAGGACACTCCGCTTATTGAAAACGAAACTATAAAAATATACTAAACGAAATAAATACTCTTATCGCGTCGTATTTACTGTAATGGTATGAAAACTTAACAATCACTCATGTGAAATGAACTAACCTAAATATCGCACAGTAACCTTTACAGCCCATCTGATCTTTGATTTCCAAAACTAATGACAACTCAATATCCGGAACGAGCGCGAGCGTTCCCACCATTGGATCTGTCCGAGTGTCCGGTGCGGGGAAGAGTTATAGATCCACGAGGAGGAACAAACAAAGCGGCGGTGGAATGAGAGAGGACAAGCCACCAGAGAGATGTTACTGCTCCCACCAGTCGTGGCCAGACGAGGTGTTGTTGGCGGAACTGTTGTTGCTGGAGTAGTTGTTGTAGTTGCTTCCTCCACCTCCACCGCTGTAGTATCCTGTCACACACAAAAATCACTGAATATCCAGACAAAGAACATAATTTGAACAATGAGAAATGAGTGGGTTACATAAATAGTCCAAAAAGTACAACCACTACATAGATAACTGCGGTGGATAACAAACTAATTTGTATATTTATGTTCAGTACTTAGTTAAAAATAAAATAACTACGGTAAGTTAAACACCCCCGCTGCAGCAAACCTGCCGACTAAGCAAATTTCCATTTGCCTGGATTGATTTTCAATTAATCTTTTAAATTAACATTTATGTTTAACGAGTACCTAGGTTAGCTGCTACAGGGAAACTAATAAAGTGTTTTTTTTTTTATTAAAATATCAATAGATTAGAATGAAATAAATAAATCCACCAAGTTTAATAAAAATATATCCATAAACAAGCCAACTACAACATTTTACAATATTCTCCATAAGAATAACATGGGAATTTTTAATTTTTTGAATTTTCTCCGTAACCAATCATTGTACAAAAACACTTTGATATACTAAATTATTTGTTTTAAAAGGTCTGGAGAAAAATTGATGAATTTTGTGTTTTAAGGGTTAAAAATGAGAAACCCCCATTTTTACCCCATAAAACCCTGTTCCCATGGTCCTATCATGCTGGTTCGCT